AATATGCCGTAAAAAATAACTAGATGATTGTTTGCTGAAATCGACCGTGTTGTATTAACACGCAAATATCACAACATTGTTGTAAACAGTAAAACGTGCCAACCACTATTTGTATGGACGTAAGAAGAAGAAGAACAAGAAATGACACAATCAGACTTGTGTCGGCAATCTTTCCAAGCAACTGTGAGGAAAGTATGTGTCTGGTATTGTTGCATGTTGTTGCAGTTCACGTGGTTACTTGAGAAAGTTCCCGGTAAAGTCGACTCATGCTTGAAAATTGAACATAGTTTAATATGGTTATACCGACCTTGTCGAAACGACATAACAGACGTGACCTTTACATTGACTCTCGAACAAACGTGTTTGTCTGCCTTTTGCACGTAGGAATTCCAGGAAAATTTGACTAAAAAGCTTAACCAAATAGGGAAGCATAAAAACGTGCACAAAACAACACAAATAACGTAACGTTTCGGTATGGCAGCCTTTGTCAAACTTGCAGTGAACTATACACAAAGGTAACAACGAGGAGAGGAGAGCATACAGATCTCTAAGGGGTGACGTGAGCAACGTTTAAAAAAAAAAGTGATTTGGAATAAATTAAAAAAAAAAAAAAAAAAACGATGGCTTAAAAAATAGTCGCAAAAATAAAAAGTAATATTGTATAAATAAAAGTAAAATTGTAATATAATATAATAGTGGGAATAACAGAAATACAAACGTTAATGATACATAAGTGATACTGATAAGAGATAGAATAAAGTAATAATATTTAAAACAAAAAGAAAAGAAAATAATTAACATTCAAAATGTGATAAGAGTAAAACTGTTTAGATGAAAGTATGTTGGATATTGATACCACCTGGACTAAGAACGCCTAGGCTGTGGATGAGGAGATTTTCCAAAGTGAGGCCTGTAGTATAATCGCCAGAGCAAGATTTTAATGCTGTGACAGATATATCATCTTTACCTCTGTGGTCAGAGCTGTTTAAATGGAGAGTGATTGGTTTAAGTGTCTTCTTGTCAATATTAGAGAGGTGTTCCCGGAAAGATCAGCTAGCTTTTTGCCAGTTTCCCCAATGTATGCAATGCTGTATCGTTTGCAGATTATTTAATAAATTCTGCACTTAGTGTCGTTGGTAGAACAATGCACACATTTTGTGTTTCACTTGAGAGGTCACCCTAAGACATAGTGTTTGCTTGAGAAGTCACCCTAAGACACTGTGTTTGCTTGAAAAGTCACCCCGAGAAACAGTCTTTGCTTGAGAAATCACCCTAAGACACTGTTTGCTTGAGAAATCACCTTGAGAGACAGTGTTTGCTTGAGAAGTTACTCTTACAGACGGTGTTTCGGACATGTGTGTGTGACTGTTTCAACATGAAAGGTTGTCATTGTCAAGCTGTCGCCGTGGGAATGTCTATGTTTGATTCCCTATAAAGGTATAATTGTTCGAGATGATATTTTGCTATCAGTGGTTGAATTTTGGTCACCTAGACAGTTTCCTCTGTGTGCGCCGGCTCGGAGACAGCTTTGTAAAGAAATAAATATTAGCATCAGCTGTGGGTTCGTCTCGTTGATTAATTCAGTATGTTAAAGCGTATGTCAGTGTACATTGGAGACCTCGGCAAATAAAAAGAGACAAGAGCCTGAGGTAAAAAAGAGTCATTGAAACACACTATGTCCACAGATGTGAACCCAACAGACAACTCAACAGTGCTGATGGTGTCTGGGGTCAACGGAACCCTGGGGCCAGCAAGAGACGCCATTTTGAGGAAAATTACCGCAGTAAGAAATCCGTGTTGCGTGAAAGATCTGATGTTGTATGTATGTATGTATGTATGTATGTATGTATGTATGTATGTATGTATGTATGTATGTATGTATGTATGTATGTATGTATGTATGTATGTATGTATGTATGTATGTATGTATGTATGTATGTATGTATGTATGTATGTATGTATGTATGTATGTATGTATGTATGTATGTATGTATGTATGTATGTATGTATGTATGTATGTATGTATGTATGTATGTATGTATGTATGTATGTATGTATGTATGTATGTATGTATGTATGTATGTATGTATGTATGTATGTATGTATGTATGTATGTATGTATGTATGTATGTATGTATGTATGTATGTATGTATGTATGTATGTATGTATGTATGTATGTATGTATGTATGTATGTATGTATGTATGTATGTATGTATGTATGTATGTATGTATGTATGTATGTATGTATGTATGTATGTATGTATGTATGTATGTATGTATGTATGTATGTATGTATGTATGTATGTATGTATGTATGTATGTATGTATGTATGTATGTATGTATGTATGTATGTATGTATGTATGTATGTATGTATGTATGTATGTATGTATGTATGTATGTATGTATGTATGTATGTATGTATGTATGTATGTATGTATGTATGTATGTATGTATGTATGTATGTATGTATGTATGTATGTATGTATGTATGTATGTATGTATGTATGTATGTATGTATGTATGTATGTATGTATGTATGTATATGTATGTATGTATGTATGTATGTATGTATGTATGTATGTATGTATGTATGTATGTATGTATGTATGTATGTATGTATGTATGTATGTATGTATGTATGTATGTATATGTATGTATGTATGTATGTATGTATGTGTGTGTGTGTATGGGTGTGTGTGTGTATGTGTGTATGTATGTATGTATGTATGTATGTATGTATGTATGTATGTATGTATGTATGTATGTATGTATGTATGTATGTATGTATGTATGTATGTATGTATGTATGTATGTATGTATGTATGTATGTATGTATGTATGTATGTATGTATGTATGTATGTATGTATGTATGTATGTATGTATGTATGTATGTATGTATGTATGTATGTATGTATGTATGTATGTATGTATGTATGTATGTATGTATGTATGTATGTATGTATGTATGTATGTATGTATGTATGTATGTATGTGTATGTATGTATGTATGTATGTATGTATGTATGTATGTATGTATGTATGTATGTATGTATGTATGTATGTATGTATGTATGTATGTATGTATGTATGTATGTATGTATGTATGTATGTATGTATGTATGTATGTATGTATGTATGTATGTATGTATGTATGTATGTATGTATGTATGTATGTATGTATGTATGTATGTATGTATGTATGTATGTATGTATGTATGTATGTATGTATGTATGTATGTATGTATGTATGTGTGTATGTATGTATGTGTGTATGTATATGTATGTATGTATGTATGTGTATGTATGTATGTATGTATGTATGTATGTATGTATGTATGTATGTATGTATGTATGTATGTATGTATGTATGTATATGTATGTATGTATGTATGTATGTATGTATGTATGTGTATGTATGTATGTATGTATGTATGTATGTATGTATGTATGTATGTATGTATGTATGTATGTATGTATGTATGTATGTATGTATGTATGTATGTATGTACGTGTGTATGTATGTATGTATGTATGTATGTATGTATGTATGTATGTATGCATATGTGTGTGTATGTTAATTAATTGTGTTCAGGAATGTAAGTATGATTGTGGCTTCAGTCAAGAAAATACATACAGGGCGGAAATGAGTAGACAGCAAAACACACATGGGCATTTCCATCTAGTCCATATCACATTAGGGAGAAAATCTAGAGAGTGGTGTAATAGTATTGCAGAATTAGAGATACAGAATTAGAGGTACAGAATTAGAGATACAGAATTAGAGGTACAAAATTAGAGGTACAGAATTAGAGGTACTGAATTAGAGGTACAGAATTAGAGGTACAGAATTAGAGGTACAGAATTAGATTTACTACGAGTAATGGCTGAAAACGCTGGTTTAGACGACGTATTAGTGTACATCAATGGCTCCTTTTATCAATGTGAACGATCTGGCTGTGCGTTTTCATTTAGTGTGTGACGGAAAATATCCTGCGGAAAAAAAAAACAATTGTGCTTTATTATTTTCAATTTCAAGCACGGGAATGGAGGTGGAGGCGATCATTGAAGCTTTCATGTGGCTAGCAGAAAACAGTTTTATTGTTTGTTTCTCACTCAGCAATGTGGACGGTTCAAAATGGAGTAATGTGGCACAGAGGATACCAAGCATAGGCAATTAGCATCACAGGGCCTCACTTTAATATAGTGCCAAGTCATGCAGGAGTGGGAGGGAACGGATAACCGGACCGCTTAGCTACAAGAGGGATAGCAAAAGGAACACTCATACTGGATAACAGAGAGATTCTGAAGACTATTTTTGAACGAATGCTGTTCGGTAAGGAGAGTCGCATGAGAGGAAGAGAGCGACCTGTGTATAATCAGTCGGCTACTCGAACAGTTAGCCTTTACAAACTAAGACACCTGCTGCTGATGACGTAGCATCTTAGAGTATGTTCGATATGCAGTGGCGTGGATTCTGAAATCATTACCCAGGTCCCCTAATTACACCTGTAATGTTCTTGATGATACTGTGTTTTACTAATCGCACTGAGTGTAATGTTGTTGATGATACTGTGTTTTACTGATCGACCTAAGTGTAATGTTGTTGATCATACTGTGTTTCACTGATCGACCTTATTTTTATGTTGTTGATGATACTGTGTTTCACTGATTGACCTAATTGCATTGTTGTTGATGACACTGTTTTACTGATCGACCTAAGTGTAATGTTTCTGATAATACTGTGTTTCACTAATCGACCTTATTGTTATGTTGTTAATGATAATGTGCTTCACTGATCGACCTAATTGTACTGTTGTTGATGACACTGTGTTTTACTGATCGACCTAAGCGTAATGTTGTTAATAATACTGTTTTTCACTGATCGACCTTATTGTAATGTTGTTGATGATACTGCATTCAGTCGATCGATCTACTAGTAATGTAGTTAATGACACTGTGTGGTGATGATCGACGCAATTTGTTTCCTGTCAACAGTTAAGTGGTAGCTTGATGCTGGCTGGGTTCCTACACTTTCTGATCGGATTCACAGGTCTTGTCGGCATTATACTCAGGTAATCTTATTTCTTTCTCAGTACCAGTATCACTACAATTGGTTTAATTCTATAATAATGAAGTTTACCTTGCAGATGGAAAGTTATTGCAATCACTTGGTGATAATCTGAAATGATATGGTCTAAATTGTGTTAATATTATATCTATTTTCATGTCCTTTCCAAATTAGTAACCTTGGATTTTGTATATCTAAGAACGGCTGCAAGAGTGACCAGAAGAGACAACATCAGGAAGGGGGCCATTCAAGGAAAAAGTCTGCAGAAAACAATTTCTAACCTGCATACAAAGACAGCAAATCCACTTGTGTGCTCACTTCCACATAACGCCTTGTGACATCATGTCCTACGTGACATACATACAGAAAAAGAGAAAAAAGACATAGAGCACAAGGTAGAAAAAGAACAAGAAGGAAAGACTGCATCAGAGAATCTCTTCAATAGTATGAAGTGTTTATGATCGAGATGGCCAGAAGAGCCAAAGCAGAACCATAGTAGTAAAACAGGAAGTGAAGAAGATTAGGGAAAAGAAATATTAATAATGCAACCATCCTATGAGGGTCCTTTGCTAAGAAAAATGTTGAATCAAGAAGTGACGTAACAGAACTCAGGATATTCACATAACCTCTCAGTCCCCATGTTCAGCAACAAGCGCAGAGTTCCAGCTCCAATGGGAGCAGTGATAGTCTGACTGTATATCGGTCTCGCCTTTCTCTTGAGTGCTGAACGTGGTCTAGATTCCTTTGTTACACTTCGCTGCACCATTCTTCTCAAAAAGTAATAATCTATTTGAGTCTCAGCGCTATTTTGTTGGTCGTAAATGGCCTCTACAGCATCTAGCCTGTCATTCTTTAATGCACTACCAAGTGGGACACAACAGCCAGTCTGTGTGTCTGTTTGTTTCCCAACGCACCCGCACAACACGGACTAAATATTCAAAGGGCGCTAACCGGGAATTCTAAATCCATGCTTGCCACTTTGCACCATAAAATGTGTGCACAACTTGTTTTCAAGCCAGCGGAAGACTGCAGTGACCGCCTTAACCTTTATTCTCCAACTAGATAGTGTAGCATCCTAAGCTAAGCTTTGTTGCACTAGATCACGTCCATTCGAGTTTTCTGTGAACCCCTACGCACTGTGTCTGCCTCCCAACATAGAGCCATCTATGATAATTTGGGATAGATATGACATAGCCTGCAGCAGTGTTAGCTTTTTTTGGTTCCGGAAACGCAGGCGTCGATGGAAATGAAACAGCTGATAGGTTGGCTGGATCCGCTATCACTACCGACGGTCGGACTATGGATCTGGCTGATATTAATAATGCCCTCAGAGAAATGGGAAGGATAGAGGACTTCGGGGGCAGTGAATCCACATCACTCGCCAGAATGGCAGACTTGGGAATTAAGATCGGCATAGCAAAAAACGAGACGCACACCAGACATACCAGAAGACATTAATCAACATAGAACTGGTACTATTAGCCATCGGACATAGTGATTCATACTGAGGGGAGGGTCTGAGCATATATGGACACGTCCGGAGTGCAATGATGATAACCCAACTAAATAACTCACTTACTAACTAACTAACTAACGAACTTAACTAACTAACTAACTAACTAACTAACTAACTAACCAAACTAACTAACTAACTAACTAACTAACTAACTAACTAACTAACTAACTAACTAACTAACTAAACTAACTAACCAACAACAACCCAACCAAATAAAACTAAACTAACTAACTAACTAACTAACTAACTAACTAACTTAACAACTAACTAACTAACTAAACTAACTAACTAAATAACTAACTAACTAAATAGCTAACTAACTAACTAACTAACTTAACTAACTAACTAACTGCAAACTAACTAACTAACTAACTAACAACCAACTAACTAAAAACTAACTAACTAACTAACTAATAACTAACTAACTAAACTAACTAACTAACTAACTAAAACTAACTAAACTAACTAACTAGCTAACTAGCTAACTAACTAACTAACTAACTAACTAACTAACTAACTAACTAACTAACTAACTAACTAACTAACTAACTAACTAACTAACTAACTAACTAACTAACTAACTAACTAACTAACTAACTAACTAACTAACTAACTAACTAACTAACTAACTAACTAACTAACTAACTAACTAACTAACTAACTAAGTAACTGTTAGCTTATCTGCGTTGGCCGTGCAAGAATTTGTCTTATACATTCTACTGGGGTGGGATCCGCTGTGGTGTAGCAGCTGGGCGCTAGCCTGTGGATGGGAAAGTCGTGGGCTCAGGAACCTACAAACACGGACATTTAAAAAAATGACCTTGGCTCCCAGGTCGAGCCAGCATGAGTGGGTACCAGGTGCAGTCCTGGGAAGTAAAGGTGGTCCGCTATATACTGACCATCAAGTTGCCATTGGTCTATAAAACAAATGTCTAACCCTATATGCCTAAAACGTCTAAAGCCCTGGAGTAGGGTCCTTTACATTGCTTTACTATTCTACTGGGGTATCTCTTATACATCTAAGAATTTCTCTTAAAGTTTCATTCTGAATTTTTTTTTTTTAAGTTTCATGAGCTGATTATTTTGATGTGGTAAGCATTCCGTCCATAGTCTGTAACAGACAGGATTACATGCTGGAACACAGTGAACAACATTCTTTGTTTCAAATTCATTGTTGCCATACCCATGAGTACATTGAGTTTTCTTTGACATATCGCGGCAAATGCCTCTGCTTGGACTCTGAAGATGAAGCGTCCATCGATACCAAGTTACCTCAGTTTACTTTCTTGGTAATGTTTCTGTTATTAATTGGGTTGATTAGGACATCAGCATTATTTATAACGTCCACAGAGCACAACAAAACAGCTGCCTTTTCTGTGTTGATGACAGTATCCATGGCTGCACAACACTTATTCGCTTTGTCTTCTTTTGTCTGTGGCTGCTGGGCCGTATGTTGCCTACCACTTGTCGCCTGCCTAAATGCAATATCTACTGCAAATGTGAAATATCCCTCCATTCCTGCGTGCTTCAAGTCATGCGATCTGAATTTTTTTTTTTTCACAGGCAAAAAATGACATTTTCCCGTAATATAGTGAGAATACAGCTATAACAATACTGCATACGAATTTGTTTACAGCAGAACATATGGGAGGACGGTGACAGGAAAACCAAGAAATCGATGGGTAAAAGGAGCAGCTGAAACTTGCAGATAAGATGATCAAATCTATCACCCAAGCCAGTTGCGAAGAGCAAGACAAATACAGAAAACCACAACATTGGGTTACAACCTGGCATCAGTGAGAGAACAGAAGAAGAGAAGGAAAGTTGTGACACATCTATGTTCCTTTCAGTAGCTATGGGTTTCTTTCCTTCTTTTTTAAAATCAGTAGTAAAATAACACATAATGAATTGCTTTGTACACACGACAGTAGCCCAAAGACACTTGGTGCTTTGTTAAGACCAGTACAATTTAATATCGAATGACCGACCCTGCTACTCAGTGGGATTGTGCTTGCTGTAATCGTTACACATGATTGGTGTATTGCAGATTTGTTGGCCCTATTACCATAGTACCTACCATAGTCCTAGTCGGCCTGTACACCAATAGAATGGTTGTGAAATTTTGTCAGCCTAGCTGGATCTTGGCCGCTCTGTGAGTATCTCTTCTGTGATTCTGTACTGATATATGTCAACAATGATTGAGTGTGATGAGTCAGCCAAGGGTTGTTATGGGGCATTGCAATTGGCTCAGTACATGGCTGTCCCAGACTCAACAGTAAAGGCAATTATACACAGGAGTCGACAACGTAAAGAGTCTGTTAACTGCACCAGATTGTATCTTTTTGGGCCTCTGTCGATAACATTACTTTTCTGGCTACAATGATCCAGTACTCTGATCAGCTATACTTTGCACACAAAGATACTTAAGGCTGATACAATATCAATGCTTACTACTGTACTCAACGATCGTCTGCAGAGTCACTTCACTTAGACGACGTTGTGTTCAACAACACAGTTGACTGTCCTTCAGCGAGCATCAAAACTGGCATTTAACCAATCTCCATGGCGATTGCGGCTGCTTGGATGCATTCAAGTTGCATGCATTCTTACGATCTTGCTCCCATGCTTTCACTCCCTGATCCCACTATCTGAAATCCAACGTTTTCCGGTCTACAATTACTTTCACAATATCAGTGGAACTTGACCGTACTATCGTTCTTTACCGAATAGCTTTTCGGCTTTCTTATTTCCAACACCTCTCTGACGTCAGCTTCTACTGTCTAAGTTATACATTATGTTTATACTCTGGCTCGTTATAATCAGTGATACAAAACAGTCCTATAAAGTGAGTGAGGGAGATCCAATCCCACCAGGACATCCACATAGCGATAAACACCAGGTGACAAAAAGTGCCACCATACGGATGAGGATCAACCGTGGAGAGGTCCCAGAAACCCCTTTCAACCGTTACGTTATATTAAAGCCCCTGACTACAGCCGCAGTAGGGCTGTAAAATGAAGAAAAAATATTGTTGTTGGTAATTTTATCCTATACACACTGAAACATACAAGTACACACATATTTTTCTGTAAAAGAGAATACAAAAAGTAAAAAAAAAAAAAAAATTAAAAAAAATTGAATTGTCAGAATTGTCTATAGTATGTTTCATTATGTTATCTGAAAAGGTTCTATTAGTATTATCAGTAATTACCTCCAAGAGTAACATACACAAATAAACTATAATATACGGAAATAAACTATCATAACATGCTGACAGTGCTAGAATATGGTGAAGAATCACTGGGTCACAACGTCCACCAGGCACTAATTAAATTTTATTTTCGTCGTTCCCTGTCTTCTGAGAATGTCACCTCCACCAGATCCTCTGGGTCGTTGCATAATTATTTCCAGATCCGGTGATTTGTTAGACTTTCCATATAGTTTATGTGCTTCCTACCAGCCTTTAAAAGATTTGTTCGCTCTCCAAGTGTATTCCCATGACTCTTATACACACGTTCATCGAATCTAATATGGCAACCCTAGAAGAAATAGCCCAGTTTATGTCGGGGCCATCAGCCAGTGACGTTCCTTCTTCACAAGGCAGGCATTATATATTAGTTAAGAGAGTAATGACAGCCTGTGTTACATAGGCTGTTTAAAAAGTTTCACTACACAGTCTGTGTACAACAGATGTGAAGAAACGAAGTACATGATATCAACAAAACGTCTCGTCCACATCAATCGCAAAGCAAACTGTAGCGAATTGTTGTCGTCTGCTGGAATGTATGTATGTAAGTTGTACCCCACCAGGACATCGCACAAAAAGACAAACACTCAGTGACACAAAATGCCACCATGCGGATGAGGGTCACCCGTGGAGAGGTCCCAAAAATCCCGTTCAGCCGTTATGCCATATTTATTATTGAATATATTCTAGGGCCCCTGACAGAAACCAGGCTGGGGCTTTCAAAAACCGAAATGGGAATGGGGTGTTGTCAGCTGCAGTAATTCTTTGCACTCGAATGAGCATAAAAGTAGCAATAATAATAATGGTACAAAAAAAGTTCCAAGATTTTTTGCATGAAACAATAAACATTGTATGAGTTAATGTTAGAAACAATAAACATTGTATGAGTTAATGTTAATCTAAGCATTGTTTAACTAGGCTTCAGTTCTGCTGCCTTTTCTTCATTCGCAGGACTTGTCTCTGCAACTGTGTATTGTCCATGTATCTGGCAAACAAAAACACCCCGATCCCCTACTGGAGCAGAAGGCGCGGCTTCCACATCTTGTGGTTTCCCTTCCATCACGCTTTTTCGGTAAGTATTTATTTGTATCAGTAACATTACCCTAGCAAGATAACAGCGTTCTCCTAGAAATACGGTTTTGACGCCAAGTGATAGATGTAACATAATATATTACTAGAAAGCAGGGGTACCAAACACAGTACGATCTGTGAATGGAAAACTCAACGGAGTATTAGTACATCCACAAACTTTTACTGGAAAATTCAAAGGCGTACCTAAACGCAGCACAAACTGTGACTGAACACTCAAACCAAATACAGCGCGAAGACTCCTTTCAAATCCAGCTGCGACTCCCTGCAGCCTACGGCCGGTGTTCGAAACCTGGCTGTTCCCGGGGTTCACCCAGCCTCTAAGGAAATGGGTACCAGACTAAAGACTCTGGTGTTAAAAAGAAGAACCTCGCTGTAGCTATGGAGTTACATGCTAACAATGACACAGACGGACAGTTTCTTATCACCTTTCCGTACTGGTGGCAGAGCACTTATGATTTATAACCGTGTGTAATGACGCTGGTTCACTTATCCAGACTTTAACTTCTTTACCTGTTCATAGAAAACTCTCTTACCAAATACAGCCCAGTCTGTGACTATAAGGCTTTACCGCAATGTTTGTTAATTTGTGTGTGTGTGCCTCAAAGAGGTTGGAATAAATAGGAAATGAAGGAAAAAAATTCAGTGCAAATTTAATGTTTAGCTGTCTTTAATGCGATGACTGTTTAGATTAATTTTTCATTATTTCCTTTATATGTATTGGAAGTTTAGTTAACTGTTCGCTCAAACACTTGAAAGTTACTCCTGTTTCTGCTTTTTTATTGTAAGCATGCGTTGAGAATGCACTGCAGCCTTGCCTATGGCATTTGTTTTCTGAATACACCTGCAACCAAACTCTTCTTGGCTTCTTGTTTTTATTTTTTTCTGTTTTTAAACTGTTGTATTCGCTGACCTCAAGCAGATTTGGAAAATGGGATACCATCGCGACACCCAGTTTGAGAAATGCTGCTTTGTCGAGTGTCAAGTACAACACAAACTGTGAGTGGAAACTCAAAGGCCTACTACCGCATCATCAACTGTGACTAGAAAACTCAATGGAGTACCAAATAAAGCACAACCTGTGACTGGAAAACCCAGCTGGGTCCTAAAATAAAATAAAAAATTGCACCAACTATGAGTGGAAGGCTGAATGGAGAACCATATACAGCACAGTCTGTGACTGGAAGGCTGAATGGAGTACCGAATACAGCACATTCTGTGACTGGAAAACTAAATGGAGTACCAAATACAGCACAGTCTGTAACTGGAAGGCTGAATGGAGTACCAAATACAGCACAGTCTGTGACTGGAAGGCTGAATGGAGAACCAGGAGAACCAAATACAGCACAGTCTGTGACTTGAAGGCTGAATGGAGTACCAAATACAGCACAGTCTGTGACTGGAAGGCTGAATGGAGTACCAAATAAAGCACAACCTGTGACTGGAAAACCCAGCTGTGTCCTAAAATAAAATAAAAAATTGCACCAACTATGAGTGGAAGGCTGAATGGAGTACCAAATACAGCACAGTCTGTGACTGGAAGGCTGAATGGAGTACCGAATACAGCACATTCTGTGACTGGAAGGCTAAATGGAGTACCAAATACAGCACAGTCTGTAACTGGAAGGCTGAATGGAGTACCAAATACAGCACAGTCTGTGACTGGAAGGCTGAATGGAGAACCAGGAGAACCAAATACAGCACAGTCTGTGACTTGAAGGCTGAATGGAGTACCAAATACAGCACAGTCTGTGACTGGAAGGCTGAATGGAGTACCAAATACAGCACAGTCTGTGACTGGAAGGCTGAATGGAGTACCAAATACAGCACATTCTGTGACTGGAAGGCTGAATGGAGTACCAAATACAGCACAGTCTGTGACTGGAAGGCTGAATGGAGAACCAAATACAGCACAGTCTGTGACTAGAAGGCTGAATGGAGTACCAAATACAGCACAGTCTGTGACTGGAAGGCTGAATGGAGTACCAAATACAGCACAGTCTGTGACGTGACAATTTAGCGGGGGTACTAGTAAATCACAAACTGCGACTGGAATATTGAACAGAGTGCTAATTGTTCTGCGGAACGAGTGAGTTTTAAAAGAACGCTCCTGGTATTCTGTCTCTAATGCAATGTGCCTTCAATCAGACTCAACGGTCTCAGTCTCTTCTTCTAGCAGCCTGGTCTATAATTACCCTATTTTTAAACAATCAAACAATCGGTTTAGATCAGAGCCAATTACCGTCTAAGAACCTGGTACTCTGAGCCAAGAAAGCCGGTAGCCTAGAGACCGCTAAACCTTGGAAAAGTGATTTGTTTCCGGCTATGTTACTGCCAAATGCCATGTGTCTGTATTTTTCATGTTTGCCGTGTAGGCGGTGTGGGATGTGGTGCTCTTCTTGGGGTAAGGATTTAGGGCCTTATGGCTAGCGCTGTCGCCAAGTAGTTTACGTGTTTGGAATTTATTCTTGTCTTCGACAGAAAAAAAAAAATTATCCCAGCCTAACCGAGGATTTGAACACGGGTCTCTATCACTAGGGCCCGGCGTTCTCACCCTTTGGGCCAGACAGTTCGTTGTGTTGCGCTAATGCAAGTTATTTCTAGACTGGAAGTCTAAAGGTTTCATCGCTAGGCTGGCAAGCTGAGTCTAGTGAGACATGTGAGTTGTAGATTATTTTGAAGGCTTTTTTCCCCCTATTGGTCTTTAAGAGTGTTGTTAACAGCACTAAACTGGTGGATGGCCGATTATGTTTAGTCGGGCGCGAACCTTAACCTTCCAATGATGGCTTTGGTGACTGACCGTTTGCGCCAACAGTGAGCTGTAGTTCTGGTAAAGGACCGCTGAACTTTTGCTTGTCAGTTGTGCTTTGTGTAGTAAAACTATCAATCTCGTGCAGAAAAACATTCACATTCTTTTTAAATAAAAGCCAGCCACTGGCGTGTTAACGATGATGTTTTTGTGGTGGATGGGTGAAGCGATCTCTTGATTATCATGGCGCCTTCCAGCAGCGACCCTCGTAAACCAATTGTCCGCAATAATAACGTTTGCTCAACAGGGGAGTCCCGTGGCCCGAAAGTCATTATCCCAGTCGCCATACCCCCCCCCCCCACCCCCACTCCCCCAGCCTCTTCCCGGAGCATATTTAGACAGTAAGAGGGCCGAAACTTTTGTTGAAAAGGACATCTACAGATGATGTACAGACTCTTGCTGTTTATACTACCACTTTGAAGTTATTTTTCTCGACAACAGAAGTAGCAGCAGCAGCAGCAACAACAACAACAACAACAACAGAGACAGACATTTGAATTCTCTCATTTACCGTCGTATCCGTTATGCTAAAATCAATTTGAATGTTGCCGACGTATATGTATACGTGTACTTGAAGGTTCTACTGAGCATGATGTTCGGATGGAGCCTAAGTGCTGTTCTCACGGCAGCCGGGGCCTTCACTGATGATAAAACAAGTCTGCAGTACCTGGCCAGGAGTGATTCCAGACTTCACGTCATTGAGGAAACCAACTGGTTCATCTTCCCGTATCCAGGTATTGACAGTTTATGTCTAGTACACGGCAATCGAGTTACATTTATTAATGAATTTATGTCGATGGCGGGTGAAAGAAAAAAAAATTAATATAATGACTTGATTAAATAGCATAAGAGAGACAAGAACATTGATTTGATCTGAGACTGATGATTGTAAGTAATGATGAATTATGATCTTCAAACCATCGACGTCTGGGTCGCCCTTTGGCTGGCCGGTAGAAGACCTTGTCGTCGGTCGGGACAGTACTTGAGTGTACTGAATAGCCAACATAACCTAGTTACAATTATAACCAAGGCTTCCCTTTAGGGAATGCTGGATGAACATGCCGATTTTTTAGGCTCAAAATCGGATAGGATCTTTCAACCATATCGGCACCACATATAATGATTTGGGTAGTCTGGGTAAATATTAGACATCACGGCATTCAGGACAAGATCATATTAGCACCCCCACTCCCCTCCTTTCATTCCAACAGCCAGTGGAGTGTGTCCATACTGATGGCACCCTTTGTCATCTGGTTAACTACATAGCTCGCAGACAACCCCAGCCAAACCGTTGTCTCCATGTACGGGTTTTCAGTATCTTTCATTTTACTCGTCACCTCTTCCCACAGACGAACGATCACATCTGCGTTGTCCAATTGCAGTACAAATCCGTCTAGCCATCATATCCGCTTGCTTATTCTCAGTCACGCATTGCATGAGCAAAATATCCATGTGAATCTCACTAGTTGCCACTTCTGGATTGATGCAACAAGTTCTACACGAAGACAGTCTGATGTTGCCCCAGTTACCGCCCTACTCTTAAATTCGCATGCTGGGTGTGGTAATGTCGTGTTCTAAAATCGATTGTCCATCACCTCCCATGCTTTTGCAATGAAGTTCCATTCACTCTTTCTACCTCTAGCCATTGACCCATTAGTGTATATAATAACAACTTCTGGCCTAGATGTGTCCTCTGTCAGCTATTAAACCTCTGCATGACCAAGCGGCCCATAAAGTTTGGCTTCCATCAGTGTCTCTCTTGGCAGAACGTTTTGTCTGGAAACATTGTATCTGCTACAGTCTTGGAGGATGTGATCTGTTTTTCAGGCGCCAGTCCACATTACACATGGCTGATTCGCCGATCTTAAATTTTTTGTACTTGTGGCTGCGTAGTCGATTGCGCCCTGTTATAAGGCATAGGAAAATGACTTGCTCTGGTCTGTCCATAAATGGTAATAGTCTTGTGCCAGTTTCGGTTGCTTTGGGATTGATTTCATTATTCTCTTCTTATGTTGATAAGAGACTGGTGCGTCGCGTTGTTCTTTAGGGACCACTTTCCTTAGCTAGCTTATCAGCTCTTTCATTTCCGAGAACACCAAAAAAGAATGGTATCCAACTACAGGTTGCCTAGTTTAGATAGTAGTGTTCCTATACCTGGTAATTTTCCAGACTAGAGACCGTGAAGTACCGCTTTTGCATCTGTCAGGAATAACACTGGCTGTGAAAATTACCCGATATTTAGTAATTTCTCTGCCGATATCTTGATGGCTTTAACTTCTGCATCGTAGTTGTGACTGCTTTCCTGTTGGTTTTGTGGCTCTATCCCTGGTATCATTAGGATGCTCAAAGTACACTCTTGCTTCTCCGTTTTTGATTGCCTTTTGTGCTGACCTATCTGTGTAAACACGAACCCAACGTTTCTGTGGGTATTCATCATCAAGTATACAGAGGGTGGCTGTTTTACGCTGCACACTGTTATGTTCTTCCTGGTAAAATAATCCTTTCACTTCTGTCTTGATGAATTTTTGAAACTTATACTATTCTCTTTAGGAGGTCCACTCTGGAACAGCATTTAAAGGGCTGTCAGTTGCAGGCAGATCAGTGGTTTTTCCGCAGAGCCTGGTGGCTAAATCTGCTTCTCTTTAGTCGCCTCATATCTAGATTTTGGACTCTTGCATTCATAGGATGACAAGGCAAGCTGAGAAACCTTTCTGCTTGCCTTAGCATCTTGATTTCTCTACCTTCCTTTATCCCCATTTTTTTCCATCACAGCTATAGGTGTTTATTTCATACTGCCTGTTGTAACTCTACGTGTTGATTTTGCACTTTAACTATGTTTGTCTTTCAAAGTTGCCTGCGTGGTTTCTGGAGATAAAATTCCTTTCTCTTTCAAAGCTGATTCTTTTTCATTCGAAGCTGGTTGCAACACTAGCTGCTCTGCCAGTTCCCGGTTTTTCATTTCTATGTGTCTGCGGTCTCTTTCTCCTTTATGACCGCTTCATATCATAGCCTTACTGTAGGGCTTCCAGTTCAAGGTTCTTCAAAATCCTCTTATCTGCTCGATCTTGTCTTTCTAACTGGTCTGCATATTTGTCAGCCCATTCCATAAAATGTTTCCTTTGTCAGGCCATTGTCTGGCAATTTCTTTAAAGTCCACAAGACTAAATATCTTGAACAGGCCTGCAATTTTCAATATCTAAGCCTACAAACTAAAAAGAATTTTTTTTAAAGACAGTAATTACCACCAACACTTTACAGTACGTATATTTATTAAATAAGTGTACAACAACAATGTTTACACAGCTAAAACAGAAAAAAATAACAATTTACTTCAGAGATTTAAATAAAAATATGCCTTATTTGCATAACAAAGTAAATTCGTCATTAAAAAAAAAAAAAAAAAAAATAAAGTCAGTTGGTAAATTTCATTCTAATATTTGAAATCAGCATGTCGAAGTTAATCAGAAACAAAGTTTTTACATTCTAGTGAAAAAAAAAAAACAAAAAAACTTGCAAATGTGCTGGACAGTGTTATACGTGTAGTTAGCCTCAGTCCAGAAGGTTAATCACAAACTATACTAGGTAAAGTCAAACACACACTTACCTAACTGTCAAATCACCAGATGTCTCTGACGGTCAAAACACCAGATATCTCTGACGGTCAAAACACCAGATGCCTCCGTCTAAGTCTCTAACAAACTCCCTGAGAAAAACTTCGGTCGGTCCGTCTTGTCCAGTCAACCGTTCACTTTCTGGTGAGTCCAATCTCCTTGAATCCTGGAGTGTTTACTTGTCCGTCACGATATCCTTCCTATTCGGGAACTCTCGTGGACTGTCGAATGCCTTTTCGCTGAGCAGTCATCTAAGTGCCTGTCCGTCATTCACTATCATCACCTACAGGCATCCCATAGCCACACAGTCTATTGACTCTCAATTTTGCAGATAATGTTGTCCTGCTAAGAATGAACTGTAGTGACATACAAAGACAATCGTATGAGTTAGCAAATGTAACATTACAATTTAGATTACAAATCAGCTTTAAAAAAGACGACAAATGCATCGAGGACATCAACAACATATTAAGCAAATGTCGCTCTGGAGAGTTTGTTGTAGTTGTAATTCTACTGTAATTGTTGACATTCTTTTGGGCTAACTTTACTCATATATATCACATTATACATTATGATTATATATGAGGCTATATCAGACCTGCACATTTATATTGAATATGGTGGTGACAATTTCAGGTAAATTTGGACTGATGTCATTTAGTGCTGCTGGGTTCATCAGCTTCTTTGTGGCTACCATCATGTCCGTGCTGGACTCCATTGGCGACTACAGCGCGTGCGCCCGAGCAGTTCGTGTCCCACCTCCCCCGACATACGCCTTCAACAGGGGCATCGCCGTGGAGGGGCTCATGAGTGCCCTGTCTGGTGCCATGGGTTGTTGTCACGCCACTCTCTCCTACGGTGGCAACATTGGGGCTATCAATGTGACTGGGGTAAGATTGCTTTAGTAACAATGTTATCTCACACAAAAACATTACACATTTTGTGAAAAAATCCGATGAATAGTAAGGAATACTAGAAGGCGAATACATGTGAACTCCATACTAACTGCAGTATAACAATGCGGTTTATAAGTTACTGTGTGATATCAGAGCGAACATGAATTTACATAAATAATAGAAGAAAATGTGGGTCACAGATGACTATTGGTCCAGACGGAAAATGTGCAACATAAAAAAAGGTATGTAGTTTGAAGACTTAGAGTTTGCACGAGTTTACATCGGCTCTGAAAGATATTGTAGCAGCACGATAAATATGTGATATTGAGCAATATTAAACAAACTTTCGAATTAGAGAGAAATATATTCGAAGCAGGAAAGATTAAAGGTGATTTTGTGTGTGCCGTGGCGCTGTGAGGGGACCTGTGTGGTAGCCCTCTATGTGCAACTGATCTCTGGGAGTGATTGAAATAATGAAAGTGACTAATCTTGGCAGAGTGACCCTGGCCATTTTTGTTGGTTTGTGCAAGCGAGCAACAGCAGGCGTGGAAGCTGTTGCCAGGATGCTTACTAGAAGAATGGGAGATCCTGCCCGCCTGTGTTGATACGAAGATGTTTTTTTTTCCACGACAATTTACTGTTTTAGGTGCAGCTGGTTGCTGTGTTAGAACACGAGCACCTAGAAGTCGACACCAGACACCTGCTAGCGAGGTCTAACGGGCAAACAGTGGACGGTGTGTAACGGCAAATAAACGATTGTAGCAGAGGTGCTGTTTGTCGAATCTTTGATTGTCCACAGAGGAGTCCTGTTTCTTGTCGTCAGTTAAGGGGATCAATTGATAGACAAGATGGAGGGAACTGTCCGGTTTGTCTAGATCAGCGGTTCTCAACATGCCGGTAGCGACCATTTTTTGGGTCGAAGGACAGGTTCACAGGGGTCGCATAAGACCACTGGAAAACACATATTCATTGAAGCCATGAGGGAAAATAATTGTGGGGGTCGACACAACATGAATGAACTGTATTAAAGGGTCACGGAATTAAGAAGGCTAAGACCGACTGGTCTAGAGAAAAGTGTTATAGTTTCCTACAGGAAGGAATACGAATCACCATGACGAATGGACCCAGTTTTCACTGCATTAAATGCGTATAACAGCTGGCACAATTATAACTGATGACAAAAATATTTGACTACGTTCAAGCGACTACCCTAATGGGGAGCTTTTGGTTGCATTATGGTCTGTGCTCATTTGCGTCATAGTTTTTGGCTCCGATTCCGATTCCGATTTGTTTGAAAAAAAACAAAAGTTCATGTCACCCTAACCAGCTCCAATGGTGAGCGGCGGTTATTTTGGGACTGCGTTTATTTGTTTGGAGTATCCAATAGTTTTTTCCAATTGTGACGAACTGCGTCTATAGTCTTTCCTTGCGTGTATTACTAGTCCTGAGAAGGACTCGTAAAGTTTGCCGGGATGGCCTCGAACGGGTGGGAGGGATTGGGTTGGGCGGTAGACATCATGCCTGGCTGGTAGCGAGCTGTGGGGCGTTCTCCGGGCTGGGTGGTGGGCTGGTTCAACTGTCATGGCGGCTGGACTGGAGGGCGTGGTGAAGTTTCTCGAGTTCATCTCTGGACATATGTCATCTGGTTGTGGGCTGTGAGGTTTCTCAGGGCTGGTGGGCGTGGTTGTTCAGCTGTCATGGCGGCTTGTGAGGTTTTCATTGGTTGCTGCATGTTGGCTTTCAACTTGCTACTTCACGTGGGCGTCGTTTCCGTTTGAGTGGGCTGCTATCTTCGTTTTGTTGTTTCTTATGCTTTCGAGTTGAAGATGCCGGGTGGCTTCTTTGAGTTGCTTCACCTCCTTGTTGATTGCTGCGAAGTCGCCTTTCAGGCATTCCTTGAGGATGTATAGGTCTTGTGTGCACTTCTTCTCTAGATCTCCGGGTTTCACGTGTGCGTCGTGGATCTGCCTTTTTCTGTCTTTTTCTTTCTTCGCGTTTTCTCTGGCTTCTATCACTCTGTGCGTGGCTTCGATTACACAGCTGAGTTTGTCGCATTCATTGTTTGTCTCGGCTACCTCTGCTTTTGTTTTTGTCAGGTCTTTCTTGATGGTGGCTATCTCGGAAAGTATACTTTTCTGGTTGTCTTTCAGTTCTTTGGCGGCTACTGCGTCTGTTTCCTTTAACTTCTTGAGGTCGGTTAGATTTGCCATCAATTCTGTTTTGAACTTCGCCATTTCTGTATTTTCCTCCTCGAGTCTCCTTTGGGTCTCGAGAGATGCCTGCAGGATGCTTCGCAGGTCTATCATCTCGTCCCTGTCCTGAGTCCTGAGTGCCACGATTCGTGCGTTCTCTTCTCGCAGGGATTTGATTTCGTCTCTCAGCTGCGTAATGACGTTGTTGTTCGCAGCTGTCGGACTGGGCGCCTGATATCTTTGCTTCGGCTCTGGATTGTGTGTGGTCCTGGTGGTGGAATTCGCCATCGCTCTCTTGACTTCTTTCAGGTACGGGCAACCCATGTACCTGGCGCTGTGTGCACCGGAGCAGTTGGAACATCTTCTGCTTGCGTTCGGCTTTTTAAAGTCAGGGTCCACTTTTGCCAGAGGGCATTCCCTGAATAGGTGAGGGCCGGAGCAGTACCGGCACGATGGGCTGCTGCGGCATGACGAGGCAGAGTGCCACGCCTTGTTGCAGCGAGAGCACTGCAAAACTTCTGTGGTGTAGGCTCCCGGTCGTTGCTGCTGCTGCCTGAGTGGGCGGGTGTTGCTCGGTTCCTGCGCCACGACTGGGGCGGCTTCCGGGAAGACGGGTGCCTCGATAGGGCCCACATCCAGGGCTGGCGGCGTCTGGGTGTGTGAGGCTGGTGTCTCCTCCGGGTCGTCGACCGGTTCTGGCATCGTCAGTTCTGGTGCGGCGACAGGTGCTTCCTCCTTTTTGGCTGAGGATGCTCTGGTGTCCCGGCGCTGGACCGGATTCTTCTTACCACGGGCCATGGTTTCGTGTGGCTGAGGCTGGTAAGTCGGGCGGCAATTGATTGCTCGGTCCCTGCAGAGTCTGGCAAGGCTTGTTAGAGTATCCTAAAAAGGACACCCAAGCGTGCTTTTCTCCGCAGTTCTCGAGACAATCGTTAAAAAAAAAAAAAACTGGCTGGTATGGCAGGCTCCTCAACAATGCTGTGTTCCCGGGCCGCTAATAACCCACCCGCAGACGAATAACAATAGTCTAGTCGAGCCAAAACTCAGCCGAATGTCAAGCGAGTTCTGACCAGTATCTAGCTATTGATAATCTGGCTGCGAATGGATAGTTACCGGCTGACGAGAGACACGTGGCTGAATCGGGCGGTAAAGCGAGCGAGCGAGAGAGAGCTGTGTCCGACTGGGCTGTCTGCGCTGACTGGCTTCCACTGTGATCACCTCCAGTTTTTGGCTCAAAACTGCTCACCACCAAGTAGCCCTGGAAATGGCCGGCCAGCTAATAAGCCCAAGTTCGTAGACTGTGGTAGCCTCAGCGGTTTTCTCGACCACTCGATAGTCGGCGCGTGACATGTCAGAATCATCCCTGATGTCTTGACCTCGCATGAACCGGACAGGGGATGACCCACGATAATAACCGGACAGGGGATAAGCCACGAGGAGAACCGGACAGAGGTGACCCACGATAATAACCGGACAGAGGTGACCCACGATAATAACCGGACAGAGGTGACCCACGATAATAACCGGACAGAGGTGACCCACGATAATAACCGGACAGAGGTGACCTACGATAAAAACCGGACAGAGGTGACCCACGATAATAACCGGACAGATGTGACATACGATAATAACCGGACAGAGGTGACCCACGATAATAACCGGACAGAGGTGACCCACGATAATAACCGGACAGAGGTGACCCACGATAATAACCGGACAGAGGTGACCCACGATAATAACCGGACAGAGGTGACCCACGATAAAAACCGGGCAGGGGGTAAGCCACGAGAAAAAAAAAACATCAGAAATATAAGAATAAGAGGAACACATTAGGACACTGACAGGAGGGAGTGGTCTAACTACTAGGATAGGAATATAAAACCAGAGAGCTGGCTCACATACCACGTTTCTCGTGGTCAATGCATAGGCTTTACGAATGCAGTATTATAATTCTAATAATTATTTGGTGGGAGAATAGAGCAGCGGGGAGTGACCAGTGGATCTGGCCAACATACTATTCTCAAAGAAAAGGCAAGATGGACACATAATCATACTGCTACTGCTAATGGTTTGGTCATCTAACGTGGATATCAGCAACCAGTATACCACAGCAATTATGTACAGACCAGGCTGGAGGCGAAGAATTTCACGGAATCCCCACATACGAAGCGGAAAAACTGGTGCTTTCCTTTCAAATTAAATTTCGGCTCGACATCGCAAGGTAATAGACGATAAAGGAGACACGAGATAAGATGACTTTTCGGCTCGACATCGCAAGGTAATAGACGATAAAGGTGACACGAGATAAAATGACTTTTCGGCTCGACATCGCAAGGTAATAGACGATAAAGGTGACACGAGATAAAATGACTTTTCGGCTCGACATCGCAAGGTAATAGACGATAAAAATGACACGAGATAAAATGATAATGTTACCATCAGCATTGTGACTCTAACCGATGAAGATCAGATTCGAGCGCTTATGTGAAAAATCATGGATGCTGTTGTGTCGTTCTTAACTGCAGTCAACTCATTAGGACTCTAAACATAATAACACAGAGAGTATATAACTGTATTGAAAACTCCATCGATTTTAGACAAACAATATAGCAGGCTATACACCTGCAGTGACACGAAGGAGATGAAACCTACCTTTGAAATGACTAGGCTAGATAGGTTCACAGAATGACACAGATAAGACCAAACTGCGAATAAACGTAGTGTACAATAAATCCGTCATCCTCATATAACACCATAGACACACACACACACACACACACACACACACAAACACGCCCAGACACAGAAACACGGACATTTATTAACATACATTTTTTTTAGTAATAGTTTACAAAAATGATGTTTATAGGTAGCCAGTCGGCGTGTCATGCAAGGTTGTGGTCTCATCTTCGTCATCTTCGCCATAGTAGGCAAAGCTGGAGCTTTGTTTGTCACCATCCCTTACCCTGTCCTGGGTGGCATCTCATTTATCATGAACGGCATTTTTATTGGACTGGTGCTCTCATATCTACAGGTAAATCCACAACATATAGTCGTATACATTATCATTGTGCTCTTATATCTGCATGTATATCATGAAAACCAAGTGGCATACATTATTATCATGCTCGCACATCTGCAGGTATACCTACAAAACATACTGAAGGGAAATGAGCGAGCAGACCAACTGGCAAGCACTGCACTAATGATTGCGGGAAAAAGTATGGACAGAGCAGACATAGTCAACGCTGTACGAACTGTGCTAGTGGAGAATGAGGAATCCCTGACACTAACACGATTGCGTGACATGGGAGTTAAGCATGGTGATGCACGTCTTTGCCGTCTTCGAGGCCGAGAAAGGAGACAATATAATCAGCTTCTCATGGGGACAATTAGTAGAAGTACTTTAGAGTGGCTGCTGCTTCGGAGAACTGAGCACGCATGGGTATGCCCAATGTGCAGTGACATTAATTGTCATAACAGAACATTTAATAACATCTTAGTAGGGAGTCGGCAGTACGAAACCCAAGTTCAAGGTGTCTCCTTCGTGCCAAAGAACTGCATGGCTGTTGGGTGAACAGTCGTTAACGATGGCAGGCAGGTCGTTGTAGGGGCGACGCCTGCTGGTGGATGTAATGTCCCAAGTCCCTTCCCCAGCTTATAATGAGGGTACTGCTGGGGTGACCGTTTATTAACCCTCATATAGTTCTTCCGGTCAAAATGGACGCAATGTACGGCCACCCTTTTTTTTTAAAGCCATGGCCAATTTTTTTTTTTTTTTGCTAGACGGTGGTCGTTGCATTTTCGCTCCATTTGTAGACTGGAAGGATGTAGTTTCGTCGCCCAGCTTCTGAGTTGAGTGCATGGCGTGACACTGTGAGCTGCGTTTGTTTTTCGTTGGCACAGGAGCGGAGCATATGTGGGGTGACCCGTTTGCTATGAAGCTGAAACTAGGATTACCAGATTACCAGAATACCAGAATACTGACATTCATTGTCATCGGACTGGCGCTCTGGGTACCCATAGCAACTCACAACATGCGCGTGTTGCTGGATATTTTCCTGACTTGTATTTAAGAGCATGCTCCCTAGGCTCACGATCCACCGTCCCTCCCCACCCGCGTGGGACCTCATGTTACACCTTCCTGGTTATCAGTTGCAGGTGCCCTAATTATGACTTCTTTTGAGTTTCAACCGGGTATCTGCGATCAGTCTTGTTTGTTTGAAGTCCAGATTGAGATCTTTAAATCTAAGTATGGTATGATAAACCTGTGGGAGCTGTCCGAAGGGAACACACTGATCGATCAATTTCTTCCCTGCTCCAAAACACCAAATGGTAACTGCTGGCAGCGTAGGCAGCACCCCCCCCCCCCCCCCCCCCCCCCCCCCCCCCCCCCCGCTTTTCCCCCGACATGATCTGTAGGTTTAAAACTAAAGGCGGAAAAGTCTCTTAAAACAACAGCAGACGACGTGATGTTGATCATGTTGTCCACCATTATTCACAAATAATTATATACCACTTTAGATTTAATTAAGATCGTATTTCATGAAAACAAAAATACTCAAATAAAGAGGTTTTGGAGAAACTGCGAGTGAAAAGAGAATTATTGAAATAAATAAAAAGAGGCAGTTGAAATGTTTTGGCCCCGTTAAGAGACATAATACGTTCTCGGCAATTATACTGGAGTGGAAGGTCGAGAACAAAAGAGTTACAGTTAGAAAGCGACACAAGTGGGAAGACAGAATTAGGACATGACGAACAGCAGCCCGAGAAAGTGTACAACAACACAAGAGACATCGTATTGGAGATCCATTGCATCAAACCTTTACCGTGGTGACGACACCTGATTGATTATGTCTAGGAATCTAGAAAATGTCTAGGAGCTCGTGGGCCGAAACATTTGTCGACGAGAGGTTACTTCTACGGATGATTGGTAGACCCCTGCTGTACATGCTCCCCTGTGGAGTTTCTTCTTATTATACAAAATTTATTGTAAACACCAAAGGCGCCGAAACCAGGACTCTCATGTCCCCTGAGCTCCGACATTCATCCCTCACCCCGAACTGGACATAACTTAAAAAGTGACACGACCAAACGATATTACAGACATAGCGACACACAATAACATGTAAGACATGGAAGTGCGAGTGTCCTAAAGTTTGGATGTACACGTTTCTCATGAATGTAAGTACATTTATGTAGGCATTGGTTGACACATATGTAAGAGTATGCATGTGTTCGAAATGTCAATTAGGTTGCATCCACGGATATGTATGAAAGGAAGTGCACAATTTAGTGTTGTCTGCGTGTATGAATGCTCGAGTGCATGTACGCATACACATAGGTGTGTGCGTCCATGTACTCCGGGGATTCATACTCAAAACCATCCCATTCTATATCAAGCATACAACAAAAACATGACCGGTGGAGCACACACAAGATATGACTGACAGCAAATAGGGAAAACATTGAATCGATACTGAAAGGACTGGAACACATAACCATCAATACCACCCCATTATTGTGATGATAGCAAAGGTTGGTAACGTGATACGCATAATCCCGGCTAAAGACCACGCTAGAATCCAGAAAGACGGCAACGACGAGAAGTGACTGAATGGCCTCCTGCCCCCTTTCCCCTCACCCTCCCTACCTCTTTCGGGTGCACTATGAGTTCAACCTCCCACCCCATTCCTACAGAGAACACCTGAGTTCGTTATCCAACATGCCGCAGCAATTCTCATCGCCGAACATTTGGATCTGAAAGCGTGAACTGAATGCTCCGGGTATATGGTATTTACGCACACCGAAGCCTAGCTGACAACCCAAACCGACACAACCGGATCACACACCAACAAATGAAGATTAGATCCGCTTTAAGGCTCCACACAACATTTTACACACATATCCACCCGACATGACTAACCCGTTTCTTATTTCTGGAAGACAACTATAAGACCACTTTGGTCACACGCGAAATATTTTCACATTTGGGAACTATCCAAAATCAAAAACTGTTTTCAGTACTTTTTGGCAAATTAAAATACTCAAAATTTTAAAACTGTTAATGGTGGTCCAAAAGACGTTATGTACGAAAGCTCGCTCTCCTACGAGATACGCCTGGCCAAATCAGAGAGAGACAAAACAAACAGAAAACACCAAGAAAGAAGAGGTAAGACAAGAACAAGTAACAACAGGGTGGACGACAAGCGGTCTGAATCGGATGGAAGCATCAAGCCCAGAAATGGCGCCAACACTCGAATTTAGTCACGAAAGTGACGCAAATAACCCAGACCACAAATATAGGCGGAGACTGTTAGCAGCTAGCTAGCAGCAGTCTGAAAGCGGTCGACCTTTTATTTATTTTTTTCTCAAAAGGACTTGGACTTAGAAAAGTGGCTCCTCCTGGATTACCGAGACAGACAACCTAATCCTGCATGTATGTGACTTAGACGAGATCAGTCACGGAAAACGGATACATCAGTAGACATGCTTGACTTGTCTAAGGTTGTCGTAATACTAGGGAGGTGCTGCAGAAGTTAGATACCTACCATCGTAGACGCGAGATTGGGGCACTGACTCATCGTCATTCGTGCATAGAAGACGTCGTCATTTACACAGACGGCTCTGTGTAGAGGGGTTAAAGATCAGCTTGGGCATACACAGACCAAAGAATGGGGAAAACAATATAAGAAGGTCAGACGAATGTTAGTGAAAGAGCTAACTAGCTGGCAAATATAGGCAGCAATGCAAATAAGAAGAACCATGGACGGAGCTGATAGCATCAACGGAATAGGTTGGGAGCTAATGTTGAATCGCTGACGCTAACACGATTGAGTGACTGAGTAGTTAGGCTTGGCAATTCAGATTTAGGCCGTCTTTGAGGTGAAGACAGGGCATATTATAACCAGCTTCTTATGAAAAAAGGCAGTAGAAGTAATTAGTAGTGACTGCTGTCTCTGAGGACTGCGCACGTATGGAAATTCCCAGTGTCCAACTACGTCGACTGTGATAACTTAACATAAAACAGACTTATAGTTAATTTTGAGACATGATAACAAAACACTAGGCTGACTCTACACTAATGTGCGTTGGTTGCAAACCAACAATAGAACTAATCAACGGCTACAGTTGTGATTGGCTTGTCCATGTTAGTAACTTGTGTCAACTTTCAGTTCGTAGACCTCAACTCTACCAGAAACCTGGCCATTATCGGCATGTCTCTTCTGCTTGGAATGATGTTGCCGTATTGGATTGGAGAAAACCCAGATGCAATTGAGACAGGTAAAAAACAAAAACAAAAACAATTACGTCTGTGAAATGAAAAGCAATCGGTATATGTTGCTAATCATTCGTATGTATAGAGCAAATAGTTGACATTATCCTATAGTCTATCTATCAAATCATTGTTCGCCAGTAAAACACACAGTGCCAATGACGTTTGCGTATGGGAAACTCCTAGTCCGGACATGGGGTATGTAATGTGAAAGTAGCCAAAACCGCTGCGAGACTCAAACCTATACCCAATGTGCCATGAAAGAGTATGTAGGCAGATTAGTTTTCTCTCTTAGAAAAAAAAAAAAAAAAAAAAAAAAAAAAAACACGATGGATATAATATTTGTAATGAAATTGATCATATAATTAATCTATGTAGATTACGAAGCAGTTTGGTAAGATTAAAAGAGAAGACAAGAATCAGCTTTGTTGGATCAAAAACTAGTCAGTAGTCTACTAACCGACGCTCAACACTCAGAGAAGGGGCGGGACGGGCACACAATAACACTGTTATTGGTGCCATCGGTGTTGACATTCTGCGCTTGCTACTGAAAAGTAGGACGAAACGCTTATGCGATTATCTCGAGTACTGTACTGTTGGTTGCTAGCTGGTAACTTTAGCAAACATTTAGTAAACATAAAGTAACATCAACTTTCCTAATGCCGCGACACTTTAACACAGTTCCTTCATGTTGTGGCGACGCTTTAACACAGTTCCCTTATGTTGTGGCGACCCTTTAACACAGTTCCCTTATGTTGTGGCGACACTTTAACACAGTTCCTTTATGTTGTGGCGAACCTTTAACACAGTTCCCTCATGTTGTGGCGACCCTTTAACACAGTTCCTTCATGTTGTGGCGAACCTTTAACACAGTTCCCTCATGTTGTGGGGACACTTTAACACAGTTCCCTCATGTTGTGGCGACCCTTTAACACAGTTCCCTTATGTTGTGGCGACCCTTTAACACAGTTCCCGTATGTTGTGGCGACCCTTTAACACAGTTCCTTCACGTTGTGGCGACCCTTTAACACAGTTCCCTCATATTGTGGCGACCCTTTAACACAGTTCCCTCATGTTGTGGCGACCCTTTAATACAGTTCCCTCATGTTGTGGCGACCCTTTAACACAGTTCCTTCATGTTGTGGCGAACCTTTAACACAGTTCCCTCATGTTGTGGGGACACTTTAACACAGTTCCCTCATGTTGTGGCGACCCTTTAACACAGTTCCTTCATGTTGTGGCGACGCTTTAACACAGTTCCCTTATGTTGTGGCGACCCTTTAACACAGTTCCTTCATGTTGTGGCGACACTTTAACACAGTTCCCTCATGTTGTGGCGAACCTTTAACACAGTTCCTTCATGTTGTGGCGACACTTTAACACAGTTCCTTCATGTTGTGGCGAACCTTTAACACAGTTCCTTCATGTTGTGGCGACACTTTAACACAGTTCCTTCATGTTGTGGCGAACCTTTAACACAGTTCCCTCATGTTGTGGGGACACTTTAACACAGTTCCCTCATGTTGTGGGGACACTTTAACACAGTTCCCTCATGTTGTGGCGACACTTTAACACAGTTCCCTTATGTTGTGGCGACCCTTTAACACAGTTCCTTCATGTTGTGGCGACACTTTAACACAGTTCCTTCATGTTGTGGCGAACCTTTAACACAGTTCCCTCATGTTGTGGGGACACTTTAACACAGTTCCCTCATGTTGTGGCGACCCTTTAACACAGTTCCTTCATGTTGTGGCGACGCTTTAACACAGTTCCCTTATGTTGTGGCGACACTTTAACACAGTTCCCTTATGTTGTGGCGACACTTTAACACAGTTCCCTCATGTTGTGGCGACACTTTAACACAGTTCCCTCATATTGTGGCGACCCTTTAACACAGTTCCTTCCTAACGTCAATGAATATGTGTTTTCCGATAGTCTTGGGCGACCCTTGTGAAAGAATGGTTCGACCCACCCCCCACCCCCAAAAGAGGCTGTGACCCGCAGGTTGAGAACCATTGGTCTGCAGAAGAAATAGAGGACAGGTTAAATGTTGTAGACGGTCTCGATGGTCAAGCTCCTGTCATGTGTTATACGCCACATGAATGCAGAGGTTGACATTCTAGTCCCAACTCTTGCATTTAGACCCACTCTCACATAGGTACCAGAAACTTATATGTGAAGTAAAGACCATCCGCATCACTACATCGATGTCGAGTGGTTTACAAATATCGGGCCGGTTTTAAATATGTAATACTCCTCCTGACAAAAGCATAGCTACTGTATGGAACATCCTGTTTTTTTATGATGTGATATTCAGAGTTTGCGTAATTTAATGTACGAAACTGTTCATACTGCACACAAGAATACCTTAAAATTCAACCAAATCAACTGACCGTTCTTTTGCATTTAAGCCATAACTAGTTTTTAGACTTAGGGGCCACTTGATAACTTTGTTGAGCAGTATAGTTTCCCCTTCATAGACTGCTTGCTAAAGTCTTGACACCCAGCGACCCGTTGCAGCTGCTATGAGGTGGTAATTAGGACGTTTCTGTGGGGGAAACAGCTGCTACTACTACAAGGCATGGAATGATGGAATGTCCGAGCGGTAAAAACGAGCACATACAGGGCCTCACACCTGATAGCCCTTTACAACCCTACACAGAGGCAGAACAGGACTTCAGAAGCAGAAGGAGGAGTAGACCTCACAGGATTTCGCAGAATTACCTAGCCAAACATTATATAATTCATAGGTGTAGTACATAGACTGACGAACTTGATGCGTTGTACATAATATAGCACATCGACTGGCGAACTTGATGCGTTCCTAACTTTTGATGTTTTGTTTGTTTGTATTTGTTTGATTGTGAAGCTTGCTTATATACTTTTTGTTCGGTTTTAGATCTTTTCTTAAACTTTGCTGTATCTTGCAAAGTTTGTTTCCCGAAACTCAGTTTGCCATTGCTGCTTGCGGAAAATCGAGTATTCTGTTTTCACATGGAACAAAACTATAATTTAAAAAAAAAAAAAAAACACACACACAACCACAATGGATGCTCGTACTATTGTTGAATTTCTCAACACATCGTTTTATGCTTTGAACTGTTGGTTAATGTCTTCTTTACTGGTAGTGAGTGGCAATGTGTGTCACAGATCTGGGTAAATAGTTTGAGCTTTTGAACCTGTTGGTGTTTTGAGATCAACTGTCTGTTTTCACTTAAATGTCAATAATCGAGACCAGTAGTAAAGTGTCCATCTCTTCAATAACTGGATTTCATCAAGATGGCACTATAGGTACTTCGTTGTCCTCGTCCAGTTCCGTGTACAGATCTGAGTTTCTTGAGGATTGAAGCTATGGTGGACGGACAAGTGACACTGTTTGCACAAATCAGCTTGCCTGACTCTTTTCTTATATCTGTTGCACAACCACATTCACAATGTATGTTGTGATTTTCTTCTCATCCTAATTCTTAGCTTTTATTTGACTTCGTGTTGGAAATAGTACGTGATATCTAAATAATAATTTTGATTTTTTGTTTGTAACGCCTCCGCAACAACATAAATTAATTATATTGTTTGATTTGTTGTTCATTTTTTTTTGTGTGTGATGATTTTATTGGTTTAAATAGACAAATACTCTCATTTCTCAGTGATTTCCACATGCGCGCAAGCGTGGTGCTCACTCTACGTATCTCGAATCCAGATTCATATACTGATGTTAGAATGATTTATGAAAACAGTTCCTTATTGGAAAAGTTCTTATGTAGTGCGGCTCGTATGTCGAGGTACCACTGTATTAAAAAAGCTATTTTGTGCTGATAGAAGACCGGATATAAATGTAACAGGGCCAGAAAGCCCCTGGTACTAATATAATAAAAAATAGGAAAAGAAAAATAGGAAATAGATAGATTCGTTCAGGTGGGGGCTAGAAACAATAATATTCTAGTCCAGGCAAGAGATCTTCTGTGTAGAGTCTAATAAGTCAAGTAATAATCAACTAAACTAGAAAACTACTAAGCACACTAACTACTAGTCGTAAGCTGAAGGAAACAACTGCAACTATGGATACAACGTTGAACATAATTTTATTGGACTTCACATCAGCATGGCCAAAAAGTAACGACATAAACGACCACGTGCTGAAACAAAACCTCAAACATACAGCAATTTACCATTTAACTATTCCTTGTCTAGAATACCAAAGAAAATCTATTTTAACCAACTAACCACCGAACATACCCTCGACTGCCATCAGCCCGACCACGAACGTTACCTGTGTTCGCCATGCCCATAGACCAGCCCATTGTGCAAAGCATCAGTCTTCTTGGGTCAGGCTTCGACAGGTTGGTCCGGAAGTCGAATAGATCGCTGCGAGACTAGACACAATCTTTTATACCCAGCGAGCCAGATTTTTACCCATCTTTCGTATACTTTATTAACTGCCAATGTTTCCCAAAAGGCCGGTTAGCATTTTTAAACCAGGATAAACCTCTCAAAGACCTTTAATCTGTTGTACTGTAGTCTTCGTCGCTTCCACCCTACTACACGTCGGATTATTATTTTTGTTGACGTCCCGGCAACCACACAATATGTAACATCAATTGTCTAAAAATCATCCCCCAACTCCTGTTCTACATCCAACAGAGTTGCTGGAAATAGCCACCTGAAATACAATCATCCCCTGACATTATGTAATCACTAGTCACTTGCAGTACCACTAATAACATTCACCCAAAAAATAGCTGACATCGATATATGGTCAAAGCATGACTCGTCCCAAGGAAACTGGATAAGGAACGTATTATAAGTCCCAAATAAGAAATTACAAAGATGGCAGTAGTCATGAAACATCCAGTGAACATTTGCGTTCGAGTTTCAGCTACCATCTGCAAAATCACTACAAATCCCCCCTCTACATCAATAATGGCGATATCATCGGAACACGTTAGCGTGTGCGCTTGGGTCCTAGACACCATCAGAGTAGAACAAACCCCCCAATTAATCCGCTCCTCGCTAGAACAATGCGTTAAACACATATCAAATCACTACTAAAACACAACAAGCAAAACCTAAAAAAAAATACATGTTACTGCAATAAAAACATAGTAATCAGTTAACATCCGGATTCTTGATCAGTTGGATTTCCTCTCCGACGTCCAGTAATTCTTCTTAGATAAGTTGTCATAATATTTGATACCTCAGCCGCAGGGCTTACAATGGACATTTTCGTTTACTACCTCGGCCAAAGGCCTACAAAAGACATTGTCTCGGCCGCGTGGCCTTGGAGAGACGTAACACACTCTTGTCTCGGCCGCGTGGCCTTGGAGAGACGTAACACACTCTTGTCTCGGCCGAGTGGCCCTCGAGAGAGACATATCGGACATTACCTCAGCTTTGGCATAGCCTACAATTACCTCGGCTTTGGCATAGCCTACAAATGGACATTTTCGTTTACTACCTCGGCCAAAGGCTTACAAAAGACATTGTCTCGGCCGCGTGGCCATCGAGAGACATAACACTCTTGTCTTGGCCGCGTGGTCATCAGAGACACATCACCACTTTTGCCAATGTCTCGGCCGCTCGGCCATCAAGAGACAATCTTCCAGTCACTGCCAACACCGCTTGGCTTCCAAGTGACATTCAACAATTACCTCGGCCGAAGCCTACATGAGAATGGAACGAAATTACCTCGGCCGAAGCCTACAATGTTTCAACTGGTACCAGCAATGTTAAAAAACGTCATTGCTTAAGTGGCTCGGTCGGTGTACTTTAAACAAGGCTGCCTACTATACAAACAGACCTACAGTTAAACCTTGATGTGGAGACATAAATCAAGATAAACTGGCCCCAAGTTCAGGTCGAGACATAAACAAGTCACTCCGTGGACAATAGACAAAACCACTCCTAGTCGACGATAGACACTGACCACTCCTAGTTAACTTAACAATAGACGCCGACTACTGCTAGTGAAAACAAAACTAACATCTGGTCACACAATAAAACTACACAGGCCGCACCTACACAAGTCCTAAACCAAATTAAAATCAAGACGCGATAATCTGAGCCGACTAGACCTGGCAAATTAAATTACTCCACAACGCTACTCATCCGTGAACAAGATGATATAAAACCTAACTATGAACAACCCAAGTCTTCGATAACGAAACCACACACGTGGGCTAAAATATTTAAAGTCTGAAATAAAAGAGCACGTGGGCGCCATAAAAACCGAATTTAAAAATCACTACTATTACCTGCACAAACTAGAACTCCTTTGTGAATTAAATCCTGTCACATCTAACTAAACAAATATCAACAAAAGACTGCAATATAGAAGCCCCACAAGTTGGGCGCCATTTAAAAATCAATCTAAACTATGAACTACTATTATTACTTGAACTAACTAGGCTAGACACAAATTATCTAATGGCCACCAAAATCCTTGCCAGACGACGCCATTTGTAACAGGGCCAGAAAGCCCCTGGTACTAATATAATAAAAAATAGGAAAAGAAAAATAGGAAATAGATAGATTCGTTCAGGTGGGGGCTAGAAACAATAATATTCTAGTCCAGGCAAGAGATCTTCTGTGTAGAGTCTAATAAGTCAAGTAATAATCAACTAAACTAGAAAACTACTAAGCACACTAACTACTAGTCGTAAGCTGAAGGAAACAACTGCAACTATGGATACAACGTTGAACATAATTTTATTGGACTTCACATCAGCATGGCCAAAAAGTAACGACATAAACGACCACGTGCTGAAACAAAACCTCAAACATACAGCAATTTACCATTTTAACTATTCCTTGTCTAGAATACCAAAGAAAATCTATTTTAACCAACTAACCACCGAACATACCCTCGACTGCCATCAGCCCGACCACGAACGTTACCTGTGTTCGCCATGCCCATAGACCAGCCCATTGTGCAAAGCATCAGTCTTCTTGGGTCAGGCTTCGACAGGTTGGTCCGGAAGTCGAATAGATCGCTGCGAGACTAGACACAAAAACTTTATTAACTCAATGTTTCCCAAAACAGCATTTTTTAAACCAAAAACCTCTCAAAACCCAGTGACTAACGTCGTATAAATATTAGTGCATTCTGGAAAAGTTTGCATGAAAAAGTGAACGGTATCTGGACTGGACAACAGCAAATTGTTTTTTTTTTTAGAAATTAGGATGATATAAAATAGCGTTAAAATGGGACATGGGTTGTGTGTTTACTTGACCTGTTTTAAAAGCTGATCAGTTCACTATGGACACACTTTCTTTTACATCATTACTATTTTATTTTTGCAGCGGGGGAGGGGGGAGGAGTATCACTCTGAAACCAATGACTCACTTGTTTTGTTCCTGTCTGTCATCACTCCCTAGGAAATCCAAACGCCAACAACGTCATCAAGGTACTCCTGAACAACCCGTCGTTCGTGGGCGGCTTCTGCGCCTGCCTGCTGGACAACACAGTGCCTGGTAAGTGCCTCTTCGATATTTTGGAAATATTTTGTTTAGTTTGAAAGTTTGTCTCATTTGATCTAACTAAGTGTATTCACAGTTGCTGGATGTGACTTCTGTGCCAGTCTTGAAGATCTATGTAAGGGTCTCATCTTTGTCAAATGTCGCTTCGTCGAATGTTCAGTTGTCTACTTTGAATATGGCTGGCGGGGTGCTGACCACAACACCCACCGTCTGCCTACTGGTCTATATAATATAGGTCTAGCCCTATATGCCCATGGCTCTATGTGAAGCGTGAAAAGGGTCCTTTACTTTATTGTACTTTAATGTCTGCTCAGTCATCGTAGCCTGCAGGCCAACGGGCGTGTGCGCCTCCTCAAATTCCGAGAAATTGCCAGATAATAACGTTTCTAAGCGTCCGAGTAGTAAAGTTTCTGAATGTGCAGATAGTAAAACACTTATGGACATACAGTATGTTTTCAAAAATATACATATTTATTATTTTTCAATCTCCATAAATTAAATGTTTAGGATTTCCACACAGAAATGAGCAAACTTGCTAAAAACAATAGTTCAGGTACGTATTTGGCAAAGATGGAATTTATGCAGTTTCCCAACTAGTGCAGCGATAGGGCTTACTAATTGTCATCGAACACATACCTGGCAAGTGTCTAGGAATTGTTTCTGACAGAAAATGCGAGGACCGAAACAAGTCTCTATAGCATATCACCAGAGTGGTAGGACCTACCATGTGATCGCAATGTATCGTCACTGTATGTCAATGGGAGCTTCCGAATCTTCTCCTTAGGTGCTTTTGTTGTTCCATTGACTTGTGTAAAATGTAAGAAGTCACAATGACTGTCATATTTTCTCCGCAGCTACCCTGAAAGAAAGGGGCCTGATGCAGCAACTGAAGGAGTTCGACGACCAGGAAGCTAAGGAGTTGGCCAAAAATTACGAAGACGGAGAGAGATCTACCGCCTGCCTTTTATACCGGACTCATTCAGACGGTCCAAACTGGCAAAATACATTCCTATAGTTGATTACCAGGGAACGACTGATTGAAGTTACTTGTATGACGTCAAATTTATGCCTACAAACATATAGAACAGTGCTATTTAATGCTGTGTTGTATTAAACACTGTATATTGCCATGTTGTTGTCTACAAATTAGCGAATGACATGTTTTAATTTAAAATATATATATATCTATATAAGAAAACGTTACAACAGAAATGTTGTTTTTAAATAACCTTTCAAAATACATTTTGGACTAGCAGAAACAATGTAAACGAAGCAGCCAGGTCCAAGAAAGAGAATAACACAGCTGATCGGTTAGAGGAAGTGAATACAAGCGACAAGTGATTACACTGTTGGCACAAGAGCCAAAATACTTAGATAGTGGTATACTACACAAGGTATCTAAACAACGAAAGGTGTGGTTTGTAATAGGAGAAGAAACAGGAATAAAACAACACAGTAGAATATAGTTTTAGACTGGAATTTCTTGAGCAAGTCTAAAGTCCAAAAGTGGACAAACAACCAGAACTTTCTGCCTGAGTTTACAGCCGGTGAAGGCTAAGAGGAAGATAGCATTGTGTTCACAAACAAACAGAACTTTCTGCCTGAGTTTACAGCCGGTGAAGGCTAAGAGGAAGATAGCATTTTGATCACAAACAAACAGGAAACAGAGAACTTCACCACATGCGTGTGCATGCTTACAGTTCCATCTGACACCTTTCTCAACAAGGTGTTTCATCATTTCGCAATCTGTAATACTGCATCTTATTTACTTAATAACAACCAGTTACCGGAATAAATACCTCACAGCGTCTGTCTACCTAACTGCTACTGTCTGTTGAAAAGTTTGTCAGTATGAGTATGAACACGAGTTGAACATAAAATGTCTGCATTAACATAAAATGTCCTCTTCTGGTTGTGTCATTCTAACTTGAGAGCTACCGGGGTGTAGCAGCTAGACGCCTGCGGATCTGAAGGTCGTGGGTTCGGGTCGTGACGGAGCCAGATTTGTTTCAGAGATGACATTGACGCCCAGGTCAACCCAGCCCTAAATGGGTACAAGATAAAGTCCTTTGAAGTAAAAGCGGCTTCCGTGATGTTGAATACAACCCCCGCCGAGTGCCGTTTGATCGATACAAAATAGGTCTAGCCCTATATGCCCAATACCCTCAGAGGCGTGGAAATGGTCCTTAATTTTTAATTACTTACCTTAACATATTTAACAACAGATGGTGAGTTGTCTACTCAGAAGATTTATACTCTAGTTTCTAATTGCTGCTTTGTGTTGATTCTTTATAAGGAAATTAAAGCGAGGGAGTTGCTTTGTGAGTCTTACTGTTGTATGTACATCGATTACGTTGTTCTTCTCTCTCTCTCTCTCTCTCTCTCTCTCTCTCTCTCTCTCTCTCTCTCTCTCTCTCTCTCTCTCTCTCCAGAGATCACTTTTCTATTGTAGGCTCTTGACAACTGTCAATATTTTAGTGTTTTAAAATATGCTAATTTATTCCCAATACATATTGAAATGAATATACAAAATCAAAAGTGCTGGCAACTGAGTCACTACTGGAGCTCGCTGAGTGAGGAGTGACTAGTTGAGAACTGCCTTGACATACTTTAGGGAAGGCGTGTTTGGTGGCTCACAGATTATCTCTGCCGTCTCACTTTATTTTGGTGCGCTTGAGCAAGCTAGGAACAGACGCTGGATAAGTCCATGACAAACAACCTACTCCAGGAAGAATGCAACCTTCAGGTGTAGCCAATAGAGGATCTTGGTAAGACAGGCTTCTGTACACAAAGGCTTGGCCGAGCGTCTTGTTGCCATTTGGCCTGACACGTTACTCAGGTCGAGGACATGGGTGTGGTCATGTTCTTGAAATACCCCAACAGAAGACACCATGTGCATGACATGATTATGTGATGATTGTGTTTCTGTAAAGATTGTGTGCGATACCACATGGGGGTATACACACACGCGCGCACACGAACACACACACATCACATAAGAACAATTTTAACATTTGCAGGGACTAAGGCCCCATTACATCTGCCAATTGTCTGTGTGTGCTGCCGCATCAACAATTGCAGTTCTTCTGCTTCAGCTTATTCAATGCCCTGCCTTATCATCTCTACCTCGGTGTCTATCTCTTGCCTTTATTGTGTGTGTCTGTGTGTGCGCACGCCAGCGCGCCATTTTATGTGTGGGAAAAAATCGGAACGAACGGAGTAAAAGGAGAGGGAAGGGTGGGGATGGAGGTGTGCTCCCTTATTTCTTGGCCATTGAATTTTAAAAAAGTAAATGATGTGTTGTTGTACAGTTACCAGTAACAAAATGTCCCCCTTTCAGGTTAGTTGGTGATCGATCACGCAGTGATAACTTTTGTCATATTTGTGTAGATCAACGTTACACCGGTCGCATTTCCTTCTCAGGACTTTTCTTTAGGTTAGGTTTCCTTCTCTTCTTCTTGGCGTCCATAGGCTGTAAAAAAATTGCTGATTGTTCGTCCACTTTTGGACTTTGGTCTTGATACAGGTCTTGATTTGTCATATTGAATGGCATTGTCATACTGGAGGGTAGATGTCATACTGGAGGGCAGATTTCACACTGGAAGGCAGATGTCATACTAAAGGACAGATGTCATACTGGAGGGCAGATTTCATACTGAAAGGCAGATGTCATACTGGAGGACAGATGTCATACTGGTGGGCAGATGTCATATTAGACGACAGATGTCATATTGGAGGACAGATGTCATACTGGAGGACAGATGTCATGCTGGAGGGCAGATGTCATACTGGAGGGCAGATGTCATACTGGAGGGCAAATGTCATACTGGAGGGCAGATGTCATACTGGAGGGCAGATGTCATACTGGAGGACAGATGTCATACTGGAGGACAGATGTCATACTGAAAGGCATATGTCACAATGGAGGGCAGATGTCATACTGGAGGGCAGATGTCATACTGGAGGGCAGATGTCATACTGGAGGGCAGATGTCATACTGGAGGGCAGATGTCATACTGGAGGGCAGATGTCATACTGGAGGACAGATGTCATACTGGAGGGCAGATGTCATACTGGAGGGCAGATGTCATACTGGATGGCAGATGTCATACTGGAGGGCAGATGTCATACTGGAGGACAGATGTCATACTGGAGGGCAGATGTCATAATGGAGGACAGATGTCATACTGGAGGGCAGATGTCATACTGGAGGACAGATGTCATACTGGAGGACAGATGTTACATTATACGGCAAATATCATGCTGGAGGAAAAATATATGTTATACCATATGGCACATGTCATACTGGATGACAAATGTCGTGTCACAAGGATGGTAAATGTCATACTTGACGGCTAATGTCGTGTCATACCCTATAAAAAATGTCATACTGGAAGTCCAGTGAGATACTGGATGGCAAATGTCGTGTCATAACGGATATCACATGTCATATTGCACGGATGGCAAATGTCTTAGTGGGCGGTTAATGTCATGTCTCATCAGATAGCATGTATCATAGTTGATATCATATGTTACACCTGACAGCAAATGTGATACTGCACGGCAACTGCCTGCATGACAGGAAAGCATGTGTCTTACTGGACGGTAAATATCATGTCATATCGAATGGCAAATGTCATACTGGATGGCAAATGCCATACTAAAGGCCAGATGTTATGCCATGCTGAATGACAAATGTCATGTCATACTGGATGGCAAATATCACACCAAAAGACAAATTTTATGTCATATAGGATGTCAGATGTCATGTCACACTATGTGGCAAATGTCCTACTGGACGGCGACTATCATACTGGATGGTAAATATCATGCTGGATGGTAAATATCATGCTGGATGGTAAATATCATGCTGGATGGTAAATATCATGCTGGATGGTAAATATCATGCTGGATGAAACATGTCGTACTGGATAGCAGTTGGTCTATAAAATCTTAGTTTAGCATGCATTACCCAAGTGTGCTACTAGCAGGACAAGGTCGGTCACTTTTGACTTGGTCACAACGGTAGATAACTCTGCCATCTTCATTTGCAGAGTTTCTGACCGCGATGATGGGTTGAGAATAATGTTCCTTGTTAGTATTCGAAGTCAATGGTTGGGCAACAACAAGAAAAGTCACATCTGTAAGAGGATACATCGTTTCTCTCTCTCTCTCTCTCTCTCTCTCTCTCTATCTATATATATATATATATATATATATATATATATATATATATATATATATATATATATATATTTATATATTATATATATGATATATATTTATATATTGTGCTGAAATACTACGCAGCGTCTCTCTGAATATCATGGAACAAGAGAAGAGGTATTACTAACATCCTATGAGATCTGAACATCAAGGAAGTTTGACTAGTAAACAGCATCCCTTCTCTGAAACTGGAACATATTGGTCATATTAAGCGATTTAACGGATTGGAAAACAAATAATAGCAGAAGGCATGGTACCAGGAAAGAGGGAGCAGTGACCGACCAACCTAAAGATGGGCACAGGATATACCTGACACCGTAGGTGAGAATGAGTACGAGGTTGAAGATCCTGTGAGAGTTTATTTTAGGCAGACCGTGTCGAAAGCGACATTCTGCAAACAGGATTATATATATATATATATATATATATATATATATATATATATATATATATATATATATATATATATATATATATATATATATATATAATTTATCATCATCGTCTTTATTATGCACAAATAAACAGTAAAATTGCTGTAACCTATGGTGCCATTTCAATGGTCCGCATTCCATAGTTGTGAATTTCAAGCTATAGTAAAAACATGGCCAATAAGACACCTTTGGTGGGGGGGGGGGGGGGGGGAGAGTGGGGGTACCTAGTTGACCATGTGTTTAGTGCACTTGTATCCATGGCGAGGCGCACACGCCGTCTTGAGGTGACAGGTTCAATTCCCTGCACGGTAACTATAGCTTTCGATTTTTATGTTGTATAGTGTGTTCTTCTATCTTTCTACTTCTTTCTATGAGTGCCCATCAATACACTTTCTGTTACTTGATTAATTCTTTCTCATGTAGTGCTTTTCCACGAACACTGGGTATGAAGGTCTGAACCTATATTTTATAGACCAATCGGCAGTAAGTGTGTGATGTGATTAATGTCACGCTTGCCGATTTTACTTCCCATTTCTTTACCTGGTACCCATTTAAGGCTGAGTTGACTGGTTACCAATGTCATTTTATTTAGGAGAAAAAAAATAGTTCAGCTCTCTTAGGATCCAAACGTACAACTTTGTGTTCCACAAGCAAACTTCTAGCCACTACACCACGGCAGCTGTCTATGTAAGTGTACTAGGTTTAAGTCAGCTAACTATCCTTTACACACCAAACGCAACATTTCTCAGCTGTTGTGCTTCTTTTCTAGGCATATTTACGACTAGCAGTTTGCCATTGCCATCTGTACGGTCACCTCTCAAACCCACTGTCAACGCCAACGCAAGGCGGTTTATATAATGCATACGTAGCTGTTAAAAAATTGAAGTGATTCGCGACAGTGTAAAATATTGCAAGCATCTGGTGGACGTTGTTTGGCTCGTTCAAGGACAGGTGAATGTTGATCAGGGTCAGCAGTTGTTTAATTACCTCACACTAAGCCGCGCCGGCCAGCCAGTGCTTGTGGACTTAGTCTGGCTGACCCCTGGTGGTCTGTACACTGACAATCTGTGTCAATGCCAGACGCAAAAACTAATGTCAGTTTTGATGGCATGTCTCGATTAATATTTCGTGAATGTCTAGGAATCAAGGTCATGCAGATCTGATCTGCAGTGGGAACTGTGGCGTTTTAGTTTTTATTTTGCTGCTTTTATTGTGAAGTTTTCTGAACAAGTTTGCTCCTTGCTGTTGTATCCATTCTCATATGATCAGTAACTCGCTAAGTAAATGTCCCTTTGGGCACACGTGGCGCTTCTTGCATTCGGTACAGGATCTGTCATCATCATCATCTTCAAGGGCATGGGCCATCACGCCTCTTGATAATCTGCGATCTGCGATCATCAACAGCATCAACCAGTGCTGACATCTTCCTTGCCGTGACAAAAGGCGGCCAAGAATATCCTAGCGTCGTCTTCCTCTGTTTTTCCACAGGTCTTTCCAGAGGCAACAATAAGTTGCAGTTTCCGTCTTCTCCCCACACTAAAAATTATGATTGTTTCTTCTGATGTCTGTGATAAGTTGTCTTTGAGCCCTCGATTCTTTGAAAACATCAGAGTTGCTCTTTTTTTGTCTGTCCAGGGAATTGTTAGGTCATCTTTTTCAAAAACCATATTTCTAATGCCTGGAGATTGATTCAATTGCCCATCCGCACTCAGTGGGTGATGAGGCCAACATCACACCGGCCACCTCAACTGCCCATCGGCACTCAGTGGGTGATGAGGCCAACATCACACCGGCCACCTCAACTGCCCAGGACCTAGCACCCATTTCTAGATGGGTTAGTCTGGGAGTTAAGGTCCATTTTTAAGGAAAAATTCCTCTGTGATGCGGATTGAGACCCAACACTTTCAGACCAACAGGCAATCGTAAAGTCCCCCTGTTCAACAAGCTGATGCTGCGATTAATGTTCTTCATATCGTCTTTTTAGTGCTGTGTTTGCAGGCTGTCATGGTAAACGATCAAGTCATTTGCCTTGCGCTTTGGAGGTCCCTGTTTCAAACCTGGATTATCTCCTTTATATTTGTTTTTGAAGACAATTTTTTAAAGATTTTGTTGGGATCCGATTTGATGACTTGTATGAAGCTTTAGGCCAACTTTAACGTTAATAGTTAGCTCCGTGAAAGTAAAGCAACAACGGACACAGATACAATGAACATTTCGCCTAAAAATCCGTACCCTTTATAAAAAGAAATAATAAATGCACCTCTTGCTAACACTTGACTAAATATTATTTACGTCTATTTATTTTTGCATATTTTAAATACGCGGCAACAACACTAGTATACATCTGAAACTGTAGTGTTAAAAAAAAATTAAACATCTTACAGGAACGTGTGTTTTGTGAGTTGTGTACCACTTTTCAATTGGTTAGTTGCGTATCCTTTACAGGACGTTGCATAACCAACCCCAGTAGCCCCTGGCTATTGTGTGATTTCTCTAGGCAAATTTAAGTCCAATAGTTTGCCATTTCCCTGGACGGTCGGCACCCTGATAGCACTGTCGAAATCAACACATGGCGCATGCCCCGCAGCTGGGATCAAACACGGTACCCCGTCATTACGAAGCGTTTGCATCGACTTAGCCACAGAGCCGACACTTTTTAACTACAACCTTGAAAATTAACTCGGAAGAAGTGAACACGTCTCTAGCATCTCTTGTTTCTTTAGCTACTGCCAAAGTTTTTATCCAGGGGATTGCAAACTAAAAGACTCCAAGCCAACAAAAACAGTTGACATTCAAAGATAGTATACGCAATAACAAGAAAAAAAAAATATGGTTACAACTAGTTTTTGTTTGCTTGGAGATTAGCTGGCCTTTCAGCCATCCTTAACTCTCCAATATGGAATGATAATGTGCAAGGTCACATGCAAAGAAGGGGGGGGGGGGGGGGGCATGTCTTCACGACTATCCTCAGATCTCCCAGCAAGTGAAGGCCACCAGGGATCATCGCATGCTACAAGTATCTACTGTTGACACAGGCCACGGGAAAACATGGTGATGCCAGGATTTTGTGTGTGAATGCCGATTTGCTGAAAGCTTTGGCGGGGTTTGGATTCTTCAGCCAGGTAGGCAAACAGTGGACCTGGACACTTCTGCCTGTGACGTCACCAGCCGGGCAGTGTAATAAAAGGGCCGGAGTTTGGCCTTGGTGTCCAGTTAGAATATGTGATCAGTCAGCAACAGTGCAACCAGTGTTGGGGATGCAAGTCTGTCTGATTGAGATCGTGCTCTAACGCTATATCTTGGACTAATATTCTATACGACAAGTCACTGACTCAGTTTCAGCAGTTGTGTTTTACTGTTCAAGTCAGTGAGTGTCTTCATAGTGAGAAGCTGAGGTATCCTAAACATACGTCTGTGCGTTAAATAGTCGAGCATAATACACTGACCATGCTTTCAGCAAGGTCCACGAAAAGCACAGTCAGAAACATGTCGACTAGAAAACAGTTTGCACTGCTTGTACCAGTGGTCAGTCTGCTCTCATCTGTATCGTGTGCTGAGAATCCGTTAGTGTATCCTTGTGTAGACTTTGAAGCAATTCGTTGGGTCAGGGACTCGACCTTCTGTGACCAGTATTATATTTGCCATTTCGGACAACCCCTGGCTATGCCGGCATGTCCTTCTGGCCAGGTCTGGAGCAACGGAGCAGTTAACTGTGTCCCCAAAGATTCCGTATGGGATGATTGTTACAATGGGATATCCTCTACACAAAGGGATACCACCCAGGTACAACAAAACACTTTAAAAACAAATCAAACCTCTACAGTTACCGGACCTGTGCAATTGAACCCGACTTACAATAATATTGTCATTTCAATAAAACAAATGGCATCAAGCATTGCCAGCCCTACTTTTACAACCGCTCAGACACATTTGCCAAACAACAACCAAAATGTGGCTCGCCCAGAGTACCACATATCTGCACAAACAAAAGAACATGGCGTCAAAGCTCCAGAAAGCTGGTACAAACACTCAAACAGCATCACGACTTTAAAAAACACAACCATCATTACTTCAACCCCAACTTCAACATCAAGAACATCAGAAATGAGGACATCATCGCCAGTCTTCACTAAAAGCTCCAGGAGCCAGACTCGGATGACAAGTCCAGCGACGCTTCCTCGTGGATCCCGCCTGTATGAAGTTATGTTTGAGGAGAGGACCCGGCTGTTGAAGCATCGCTTGAACGCCACCTACCAGCTGTTTAAGGTCGATCCAGGTACGTGGGGACGTCTTATATTGTTTTATTGTCGCTATAGATACACTAGATCCCAGCTCGTGTGTGGAAAAGTATTTTCTGTGACTGTTTCGTGGCAGCGCAGTGACTGCCAAACGGGGATTCATGTGTTCCAATCATCTTCTGGTAAACAAAACGTGAGCTAGGCTCTTCGATCTGTCTAGCCTAAAGTTGTTTTCTGGAATTGATATTATCAGTAGAGGTGGTGCCGTGACTAGATCACCCCTTAAATGAAAACATAAACACATACTCATGTGGTTATCACTTTTCGCCAATAGACCTCAAGACTTTTAAAATGGTTCAGTGCATTTATGTTTTTACAAAATGTGTGTTTCAAGAACGATGTGACGTATGCTGCTGCATATTAGTAAGTTAATATAAAATAAATCTAGCTCTTTCCGCACCCAGCTCACTCCCCGCACGTTGAAGAAAGAGTTCATTGACAGCTGCAAACATTTCTAACTTTTCTTCAAGCGCCATTTTGTTGAGACACTGAACCCATTATTTGTAATATTAGTTTTAATTGTTCTGCCCTGTGGTTTTAAAGTGTTGTGATGTTTTTCCGCCCAAACATTTACTGCATGAAACTGAAGTTTCAAAGGATATAAGGCATCCGCGTTGTGTGGTACAGAAACGTGTACAAAAAGGAAGCAACAAGAAAATCGAACTGAGGCCCTGGGGATATGGATATAAATAAGAGAAAGTAGTATTTCATGAAACCTAAAACATACATAGAAATAAAAAAAAGATCGTATTTCTAGGACCAAAAAGATAGACATAAATAAGAAAAGTCGTATTTCATGGAGCAAAATCAAAGATATAAATAAGAAAAGGTCGTATTTCATGGAACCAAAAACACAGATATAAATAGGAAAAAGGCCGTATTTCATGGAACCAAAACAAATTGTATTTAAATGAGAAAAGGTAGTATTTCATGGAACAAAAAACATATATTTAAAAAAGAAAAAGTCGTATTTCGTGGAACCAGAAACAATTAGGTACAGATGTTCTGAAGAGACCGTAATTTAAGAGAGTTATTGAAAGGAAAAGAAACGAGACAACTGAAATAGTTTGGCCATGTAAACAAAACTTCAAATATTTTAACAGCCACAGTGAAGGCAAAAGATGAAGGACGGAGTGCAGACGGTAGACAGTAATACAAGTGGGATAACAACATTAGGAGATGGACCAACAGCAGTCTAAGAAAATGTACTAGCAAGACAAGAGACAGAGCATGACGAATATCTATTGCAGCCAATCTTCATCTGGAGTCGGTACCTGATTTATTAAGGATTAAAGGCGTTAAGTAATTATTTACTGCTAACGATAGCCTCAGAGTGATCAAAATAATGTGGACTGTTAAGAATGAAAATATACCCAACAAACAAACAAGTGCACATAAGGATGAATATATGTATCACATTGATACAACTACTGGTAAACACCAACATAACCAGACACTTCAATTACAGTTTAACCTGGAACTTTGCCAGACTGGAGAAAATTCTTGACAATTTTGACGGCAGTGGCGTGACTACAGACATTTTTTTTTTATTTTTGCAAGATACGTTAGCTGCGGAAACACAGAGGCTACAAGCTTGTCCGTCGATCCCGAGGTATCCAGTTCGAATCTGAGCCAAGTGCAATATTATTATAAATAATTTATCTTAGCTCCCAAATTGTTCCCGGCTAAAACTGGTGTCAGGAAATTTGATTTGTTGAGGTTAACCACAGCATGCATCGAGTACCTTTGTGGTACGGAAATATGCAACTGGCATCATCTACCATATGCCTTAATGACGGGGACGTATTTCTCACCTTTGTCAGTACACAATAAATTAAACAAAACTGAGGGGTCGGGTATCGGGGTGGTTGAAGGACCATGAGGACTAATGTCCACGTTTACATCGAATCGGTTGTCAACTGTTTCATCACGGGTATTTGCTAATATGTTTAGACGATGATGATAATGTTGAAATAAAAGCGACAGCAATGAAATAGTTACAAAATTGAAGCTACTGTCAAAGACAGGAGCAACTTATTGAAAGATAGAGAGGCACTGAGATAAACAGACCATTAACAAGACAAATATTTAGTTTTTATTGCGTGACTCTGTTTAAGACAATACTTATGTGTTATGTTTCTTTTATTTAACTTTCGTTTGTTTAAAATCCACAAACCATGAGTTGTTAACCTTTTGGCTCAGTACTTTTGATATCGCAACCCTTCGGCCTTGATTTCTTGACCGATGTCGTAAATCTGGCAGAAATGTGGCTTTTCTGCCTACCCGCAGGCCTGTGTCCGGACTACCAGGAGTTCGTCAACCGGTCACCACGCAGTACGGTTTAGCCAACTGCGCTAGCGAGCCGGGTCTGCATAGAAAAAAGCCAGATGTGTAACACGACTGTGCAGGCAAAACTCAAGTTTAACCAGCTGCACTAGCGGGCCGGGCCTTTTATATAAATAAACTTGTATTATCTACTATTTAGATAAACAACTAGTGTTATGGTAATTTGTTGTCAATAGTGTATGTAGCTCAGTAAAACTTCGATAAATGGATAGACGAATAGCATAAATCTTTTGTTATATGAAGAGGAATGTGATTTTACTGTAGGCTTAGGGTGACAATTACAATATAATCCTGAAAAAAAAATGAACGATACGTACGAAAGGCATTTAATATTTCAAAACGCTCAATTAATCTTATATGTAAGAGTGTTAATGTAAAGAAATATCTTGTAATACTATATTCGATTTAACTTTATATAATCTGCCATTTTCTTCTGTGTCTTTAAGGCTCGAGCTGTCTGCGCGGCTATGTTTTTCCTTACGCGGAAGACGATTCTGTGTTGCATTTGCCTCCTCTTGCATTGTGAACCAGTCAATGAACTTTGATAACATTGTTTTTATATCTCAGTGGCTAGATGTATGTTTCTTTAAGATGATGACGGACAACAGAAACTGATGGTTAATCGAAGTATTACTGTAGTTAACAAAGTTGAACCACGCATATTCAGTCTGTTCTCTATAAAGTGTTAGTCGCGCTAAGGTTGCTCGCCTGCGGATCTGAAGATCATGGATTCAAATCCGCTTCGAGTCGGATTTTTTCAGCATTGACATTCGCTTCCAGGTCCGTACAGTCTCTAAAGCTTACAACGCAATGTCTTGGGAAGTAAAAGCTGGCGGCTACTTTATTTCATGTGTTCTTTCATGTGTTTTAGCCTGTATTATCAAGTCTTTAATTGTTGATCTCTGTGATGATTTCTAACGTGTTCTTGTCTCCACATAAACCACCTGTGCGTGTGTACAGACCATGAATGCTTCCATCAGCCTGGAGCTCTGTTGCCACATCCCCACAACTGCCACTGGTACATCAACTGCAGCCTGGCCAATCTTGATGACCTAGAGACCAAACCTGAACACAGAGAGGGCGAAGACTCAAGGACCAACAGCGATGAGGGAAGCATCACTCTTCTTCCCTTTAGAGTCAGGCATGCTGGCGTGTTTGTCTGGGAGTGTCGCTATCCTCAGCTTTTTGATGAAGCCACCGGGAGATGTCGGGAGTTCATCAACGTTGATTGCAAGTCCAGATTTCAGCCAGTTGACCAATGTAAGTGACGGTAATCATCAATATCGTCATCATTACCGTCGTTTTTCCTTTTCCTTTTTCTTCTTCTTTTTTCCTAGAGGAATTTTATTTGCAATAATAAATATAATAATTACCAATTATCAATAAATTACAAGTTATAAACTGTCACCAAACACTGACATCGTGGAACATAGAACATACGCCTACGTGCTCTGTCTCTCTCCGGAAATATGCAGTATTGTAAACACATAATTCTGTACCCTAGCCCTGAAGTACATGTGCCTTATTATGTTAGGGTAGCATCTTGTATTATTTAGCTAGTTCGACCTCTCTCTCTCTCTCTCTCTCTCTCTCCCTCTCTGTCTCTCCCTCTCACTCTATTTCTATCTCTATTTCTATCTCTCACTCCCTCTCTTTCTCTCTTTCTCTCTCTCTCTCTCTCTCTCTCTCCTCCCCCCACACACACACACACACACACACACCTAAAGACATCTTGATGACAGTTAACAAGCAGCCACCCCAGCAGACATGTCTATGCCTAAAGCCTCGCCGGTCTGTATTTGATGTATGGGAGAATACCACAGACCAGGGCGGAATCACAATCTAAGTATTGACCAAGCAGCGGCGTCAGTACAGAGAAAACAGCCGGAATGCTTTCGATGGCTGGGGGTAGGGTGTAACAGCCGGGCTATTACCCGTGTGACACGATGTTGGTCCGATGTTCAAAACCTCAAATCTTACCTATCAATTTTGTTCCTAGAATTTCATGACACATCCAGGGGAAACAATCAATCTATTGTGAAAGATCATTTTGACTGCAGATTCGCACACCCCACCACCAGGCAAGGGCGATAGACGCTGCTACCCACTTAATATGAGCTGTGTATCTCTAAAATAGGCTGACCACTTTTTTTTTTTGCATTCTTTCATTACAATAACATTTCCAGAAAATTCTGAAAACTCTGGGGTATGTAAGGACCCGCAATCGTAATAAATTAGAAAATAGGGAATATTTTCCGCTACCTTTGTTCTGGGAAGCAATGGTCCCGTAGGGAGGCAATTTTTCGTTATGTCGATAGTGGCACTCCTTCAAACGTGTTGCAACCGCTATGCTTCTATGAGGAGTTGCGTAAAGCTGTAAATAGCAAGCAGAAAGAAAACATACTCCTTAGAATATAATAAACAGGAGCATGTCCAGGTGCCAAACGCAAGGTTATCTAATTTCATCCTTTTAGACGGCATTTGTCATTTGAAACTCTGGCTTTTGCCGGGGGCCGCAATATAGGCAGGCCATACTATGGCCAGATGTTTGAACGTAAAGCTGTAAATCTCCACGGCGATCCTCATCCGCAAATGGCACTTTGTGTCATAGGGTGTTTATCGCTTGTGTGATATCCTGGTGGGGTAGAAATTCAGTCAGTCAGTCAGTCATGCTAGATTCATTACTAAAATAAAGAAGGTAAACGTGGCTGTCTGCTGAGATTGGGGTTCAGGGTGAATTTCCAACTGAGCCAGGGTCCTGTTTTCCAGGCCTTACAATTTAGGACTTGATCCAGCCTCATACACCAGATATCTGACAGCTTTAACTTCTGTACATTTTGTCAACAATAGACAAGTGGCCAGAAATGCCAATGACCAAACCATTCCCTGAAGCTCTGACCTACAGCATTTAAATGATCTCTAACTTCAGACTACACCAGCAGTATTGTATTGTGACAGGAGCTGCCATACATGTTTTTGTTTTCTTTATGAGTGAATCAAGCGACAATCAGAGTAGATAATGTCTCGACGTGTCTTGCCTGTGACGGACTGACTTTTTACCCCACCAAGACATCACACAAGCGATAAACACCCGGTGACACAATGTGCCACCATGTGGGTGAGGATCACCGTGGAGAGGTCCCAGAAACTGCGTTCAGCATTTAGGCCATATTTATGGCCAGGCTATATTGCGGCCGCTGACAAGAGCCAGGGTAGGGCTTCAGATAACGAAAAATTTCATCCTAAAAATTATGGGAAATAATAACGTCTTGCCCGTAAAAAAAAAAAAAAAAACAGATTGTTATCTGAATGTGTGCTCGCATTGTCTGTTTAGGTGAATACACAGCCAAGCAGTGTCGAGGTGGAAGGTGTGTTCCTTGTGAGCGCCGGTTCGGACGTTGCCGTGGTCGACAGAACGGAGTTTACCCGCTCCACCACACAAGATGGACTCCTGTATTTGTGACCTGTTACCAAGAAAGAGAAACATCGCTCAGGACGAGTGCACCCCGCCAACTCCAGTCTTCTCCCCAGAACTGCTTGACTGCGTCTCATTGTTTGATGTAAGTTGTTTCCCCCTCGCTTTTTAAATCTTGTTTTTTTTTTTTCTTTCTAAATGTAGGAATAGAAGATGTGTGTTTTTTAGATGACCAACGTTTAGTTCGACGTTAGTCATTCCAGACCCCACGCATATACACAGTAGTTCACTTCTGACTGGTTGTTCCTGAGCCCTGTGTCTTTCGCACAAGGTTACGCAGTAGTTTTGCATTGCCGTTGATATGGCGTGCTGTATATTTCAGCACGCTAGTGCTTTAAACACTTAAGAAGAAAAAAACACTGAGAAACTGGGTCTAACACAACCCTCCCCCCCCCCCCTAGAGAGTGCAGCAACCTGTGTCACAGTCATTCTCTTTCTCGGAATGAAAACGTAAATGCCAGACATAACAGAAAGCAAACAACAGAGACAGACACACTCCTAATCTTCAGGAATTCGACCAGCCGAACTTCTAAAAAAAAAAAAAAAAAGCGACCTACTCTATTTGGGGAGACTAACGTTGAACTAGCCTGACCAACAATCCTTACCCGCTGAGGATTGCATGTTATATCAGTCTGGTGTGACACTTACAGGTTCCAGTTTGGTACACTGATTTTTTCACCACCCCAAACAAGGGAAAATCCAGGTAGCCCAGTCCAGTCCACTATTATAGGGGTGATATAAAATTTCTTCGTTCCGTGTTTACACAAAACTGCTGACAAGTGTGCTTGTGCAGATGGCGGAAAGCCTGGAATGAAGCGAAATTTCTTCACAAACTGCTGACCAACTGTAACAAGCGTGTGTTACTGCTGCTGCTGCTACTGCTGCAACGTTCATGGGCAATCGCCAGAGAGGATGACAAAAGGGGTACCTAGGGGGGAAAAAGGGAAGGAGGTGGCAGAAAAGGGCCCTTTTTGAGCAAAGGACGGAAGGCCGAGGCAGGTTCCATGTATGTATGTTTATATACTGCTTGGTTATCCACGAGTTGACATTTATGCAGTTTTATGTCGCTAGTAGATCTAGAGATGTAAAAAGAGCTGACTGACTGACTTACGGCACCGACCGACTATTGTTGTTGCGGTGGCCAGAACAGAACAATATCAGCTAGAACTTGTCGAGGCAAGCACATTCAGTGCTTCTACGCCTCATTAATTCACACAAGTAGGAATCTAGGAGCTGCATGTGCGTCCCATTCTGCCTCTTGTTTCTCTCCTTTGCCGTTCGCCGCGGGCGCTAGATGCATTGCGTATGTGCACCTGCATGTCATGTACTGACGCTGACAGTTCAAGGAAGTTCATGGCAAACTCACGAAGCACAGGTAGTCAGCTTCCCTTTCAAAAACGTGTTTAGAAAAACGCACACCGAGAATGATGACGTGAAAATTTACACTGAGAATGGTGACGTTATAAACGCCGTAAACAACGTAACATATAGCATCCATTGATTAGTTGACTGGACTGGGGTTTGCCGGATTTCCCTTGTTTGGGGTCGTTTAAATGTTTTGTACCACCAATTAGAACTTCTTTGGAAGTTGAACAGGATACTCTGGATTTTCTCTGCCGGTTTGCCATCCAGGCTAACATTCTTTTATATCTGAATGCCCTACGTTAAATTCTAAGACTGTACAACAAGGTGGCTGCTGTCGGGAATACGTCGGTTAAGTAATTGTGAGTATTGGTGTCGGTCCATGTGGTTTGTTTTTAAATTTTTTTTTTTTTTTATCTGACGTGCTGATGAAGCCCGTATTATCGCACTTTCACTTTCTGTTTTGTGTTTTGTTACTTTGTAAAGCTTGCTAATCTATCTTTTACTTTGGTTATATATCTCTTCATCAAACATCAGCCCGGAATGTAAAGATGGAACTGGAGAGTTCATGGTAGAGCTTTCCTGTGAAATTGAACCTAGTTAGTTTTAACGCCTAAAATTAATCTTGTGCATCGCCATTCAAACCTAAGGGGCTCTCAAAATATATACAGACATGCTCATTTATGAGAAATATCTGTTTATTCTCATATTTTCTTCTTTACATCTTCTGCTTGTTATCCTCCCACCGCCTTGACACTTAAATGTGCACCTCACTGCATCTAATAATGATCTGCTTGATCCGTCTCTAATTCTCATAGTCGGGTGTTTTTGGCGTTTTTGTCTTTCCTTTGCCTTGGCAGTTTCACTGCAAACAGGTAAACGGTAAAAACGAGTTTCTAGTTTCACTAGTGGCAATTTATGTCCGTGTGTATGTCACAAACAAGAGTCTTGTAGTCACTATTTGTTGATTCTTTGCAACCTGTTTAGTTTCGTTCATTCGCCACTGAGTGACTGTGCCACACCGTTAAATTCCTGATTGCGTCCTCTTTTTGTGTGCTTCACATTCATATATTTAAGTTGTACATCTGAAGTAAACGACACATGTACAAATGTAATCCTATCTTTTCCTGGCTGCTTAGCTTGTGCTAATGTAATACTGCGTTTTGTAGTGTCTGTTTTACTTCCTCCAGCCAGTTCTATCTTGGTCAGCCTCTTGCCTTGTGACCTGTCTTTCTCATGTAGTGCGCTCTAGATGCTGGCTGATTTTGTTAGTACAACCGCTATAAACATGTGTCTTATAGAAAACTGACGTAGTAACATGCAGTCTTGTATACATGTAAGGCCAATTGCATGATCCTTATCGGTCTTTATTACCCGCATTTCGTGCGGTAATCAAGCAACGACAATCAACAAAGGAACATTTTCGCGCCAACATCGAATATAACACATGATGCTAGACTGATCATTTGATTGACCCTCGACGGTTGATATGGTCGACATCACAACAGCTGCTTTCACTTCCCAGGACTTTACCAGGTATTCATTTAGACTAGGTTGACCTGGGAGCAGCCAGGGTCATTGAATATAATTAAAAACTGATCAGACTGGATGAGTATTCGAGCCCAAGACGTTCTGACCAAAGGGGTTAACGTCTAGCTGCTACACCAGTTTGGCTGCCTCCCCCGATCTGTAATAGTTGGCAATCTGTGAGGTGCTGAGATCTGTGAAGTGGTTATATTTGTGTGGTGGTGAGATATGTGAGGTGGTCAGATTTGTGTGGTGCTGAGTTCTGTGAAGTGGTGAGATCTGTGAGGTGGTGAGATCTGTGAAGTGGTGAGATCTGTGAGGTGGTGAGATATGTGTGGTGGAGAGATATGTGAGGTGTTGAGATCTGTGTGGTGGTTAGATTTGTGTGTGGTGGTGAGATCTGTGGGATGTTGAGATTTGTGTGGTTGTGAGATCTGTGTGGTTGTGAGATCTGTGTGGTGGTGAGATCTGTGTGTGGTGAGATCTGTGTGGTTGTGAGAAGTGTGGGGTGGTGAGATCTTTGAGATGGTGATATCTTTGAGGTGGTGAGATTTGTGAGGTGGTGAAATCTGTGTGATGGTGAGATCTGTGAGGTGGTAAGATATGTGAGGTGGTGAGATCTGTGAGGTGGTGAGATCTGTTTGGTGGTGAGATCTGTGTGGTGGTGCGATCTGTGTGGTGGTGCGATCTGTGAGGTGGTGAGAAGTGTGGGGTGGTGAGATCTGTGATGTGGTGAGATCTGTGTGGTTCTGAGATCTGTTTGGTGGTGAGATCTGTGAGTTGGTGAGATCTGTGTGGTGGTGAGATCTGTGTGGTGGTGAGATCTGTGTGGTGGTGCGATCTGTGTGGTGGTGAGATATGTGTGGTGGTGAGATATGTGTGGTGGTGAGATATGTGTGGTGGTGAGATATGTGTGGTGGTGAGATCTGTGTAGTGGTGAGATCTGTGAGGTGGTGAGATATGTGTGATGGTGATATCTGTGTCATGGTGAGATCTGTGTGGTGGTGAGATCTGTGTGATGGTGAGATCTGTGTGGTGGTGAGATATGTGTGGTGGTGAGATCTGTGTGGTGGTGAGATCTGTGTGATGGTGAGATCTGTGTGGTGGTGAGATCTGTGTGGTGGTGAGATCTGTGTGGTGGTGAGATCTGTGTGATGGTGAGATCTGTGTGGTGGTGCGATCTGTGAGGTGGTGAGATCTGTGTGATGGTGAGATCTGTGTGGTGGTGCGATCTGTGAGGTGGTGAGAAGTGTGGGGTGGTGAGATCTGTGATGTGGTGAGATCTGTGTGGTTCTGAGATCTGTTTGGTGGTGAGATATGTGTGGTGGTGAGATCTGTATGGTGGTGAGATCTGTGTGGTGGTGAGATCTGTGTGTGGGGTGGTGTGGTGATATCTGTTTGATGTGAGATCTGTGTGGGTGAGATCTGGTGAGAGATCTGTGTGGTGGTGAGATCTGTGTGGTGGTGAGATCTGTGTGGTGGTGAGATCTGTGTGATGGTGAGATCTGTGTGATGGTGAGATCTGTGTGGTGGTGAGATCTGTGTGGTGGTGAGATCTGTGTGGTGGTGAGATCTGTGTGGTGGTGAGATCTGTGTGGTGGTGAGATCTGTGTGGTGGTGAGATCTGTGTGGTGGTGAGATCTGTGTGTAGTGGTGAGATCTGTGTGGTGGTGAGATCTGTGAGGTGGTGAGATCTGTGTGGTGAGGTGGTGAGATCTGTGTGATCTGTGTGTGGTGAGATCTGGTGAGTGTGGTGATCTGTGTGGTGGTGATCTGTGAGGTGGTGTGTGGTGGTGAGATCTGTGAGGTGGTGAGATCTGTGAAGTGGTGAGATCTGTGAGGTGGTGAGATCTGTGAGGTGGTGAGATCTGTGAGGTGGTGAGATCTGTGAGGTGGTGAGATCTGTGAGGTGGTGAGATCTGTGAGGTGGTGAGATCTGTGAGGTGGTGAGATCTGTGAGGTGGTGAGATCTGTGAGGTGGTGAGATCTGTGTGGTGGTGAGATCCGTGTAGTGGTGAGATCTGTGTGGTGGTGAGATCTGTGTGGTGGTGAGATCTGTGTGGTGGTGAGATCTGTGAGGTGGTAAGATATGTGTGGTGGTGAGATCTGTGTGGTGGTGAGATCCGTGTAGTGGTGAGATATGTATGGTGGTGATATGTGTGTGATGGTGAGATCTGTGTAGTTGTGAGATCTGTTTAGTACTGGATCTGCTGCACTTTCTTTCTATCATGGTGATCCTGTGTCAGTCAGTCTTTAGTAATCGCTGGGTTGTTTCCTGCGCATCAGTAAGGGACTTAGTGCGGTCTTTTCTCCTGGAGTTATTCCTCAAGCTGCAATTTGCTGGCAGTTATGTTAGGCTAAATGGACCTTTTAGTCCTTGGTATTAAAAGAGTGAACATGAAAAAGAGTTGAAAGGCCCCTATAGCCCGTCATGGATGATTCGGTGTATTTCTTTTTTGGGCAATTTTGGAAAGTACTGTGATTTTCTTTTCTGTTTATCTACATTTCTGCGTACAGGCTTATGTCAATGATAGGCAGGATGTCCAGTTTACTTCTTTAGGTTAATGGATAGCTCTACTGTTTGAATGTTTCTCTATTGTGTAAAACTCATTTTAGACCTGAAGTTTTCAGTGTGGACTTTGTACTTGTAATTATCCTCTCTCCTATCTGCGATAGAGCTTCAAGCTCATGGTTTGTTCTCGTGCAATCATTAGTTCCAGACACGTCACTGCTTTCATAAATGCTGTAGGCATGGCAACTAGATTTAATGGGGGAGAAAACAGTGCTGAGTGTAGTTACGCTAATACAACAAATATTCTCACATTATTTTTATTTTTATTAGATCATTTTTTTTTTAATTGTTATTTTGTATGCTTATATATATATATATTTTTTTTTTCATATTCTTCTTTTATTCTATCTCTTCTCCACACCGGTTATGGATATTTTTACTTCCAATTAAGCTTGTATTTTTACTAATTTTATTAGCTATTATTCTTACTTTTATGACTTTTTTTTCGAACATTCCTTTATTTTATTTTATTCACCCCACATCATCTTTTTATAGTTTCTTCTTGGACCACTTATTTTGGCGCTGGTGGTTAGAGTACTCTCCCCTGTGTTATTGTTTGTCTAGTTAGTTTATGTGGAGAAAGGCTCAGGCCGAAACGTCAATTTGTGTATATTGTGCAAGTTGTTCTGCTTCCCTATTTCGTTGAGCTTTTCAGTCACCGTTCAGTAGTTTAATTGCTTAGTTTTAATTGAAATGATCTTAGATTAAAAGATCAAAACTCTTCACCGTCATTCAGCAATTTGCTCTGTTCGGATCTTCTTTTCGAAAAGATTATTTATGAACGTCTTTCTATTAGAAGCCCCACATCCTTTTCCTGTTGATTTCATGTGTTAGTCATCTACAACATCATGCATCCACCAACACTGAGCTCTTTAACTTCTCCGAAAACTTGGAATTGTACAAGTATCTTCTTTGATGATCTTTTCCAGACATTGATATCACTGAACACGTTTAAAACACTACATATTTCAAAATTGTATTTGCAGTGATAACCATTTGTCTTTAGTATTGAGTTCTTTGTGAATAGATCTGCTTGTTAACTTTGTTTTCGGTGGATATTTTGAACTCTTCTAGACAATTATTTAGATCTGCATCTACGTTTTGTTTCAGTTTATGTTCTAAGTATTCGGAAAGCGACAGAGAAGGGCATAAAAAAAGCAGATTCATGTGAAAAGACGGATAAAGGCGTAGACAAATAAAATTGGGAAAACATTTATCTCTCACAGACGAAGTGTATGAACTGTACGTTGCCACTTTATTTTGTGTGTTGTTTTTGTGTGTGTTGGTTATCTTCAATCAATTGCATGTTCTGAAATGTCCCTTCCCCTAGGTACCCAAGCAACATGGGGGATTTCTTCCCGACTGCAGCACGCGACCTGATGGATACTATCCAGATGAACAAGGCAGGTGCGCCATCTTCTTCCGGTGTGCATTAGGTCACTTCCGGGGCTACGATGAGTGTCCTCCAGGAAGTGTCTTTGATCCCACAATCCCAGCGTGCCAACCTTACAGGTAAGATATGTAAGGTTATGTGGTCAGCATTACACCAGCCGTCTTTACTTCCCCAGGACAGCCATCCTGGTACCCATTTTAGGCTGGATCGACCTGCGACGCTCCATACCATGATAAAAAAGTTAACGCAACCATTGTGTGAATTGTTGTCAAGTTCTTCCTCTCTTTGACGTCTCTATGTTACCAGGGTGTATGCCAGAGTCTGGGCTTTTTGTATTTGTCTTGCGATTTTAGGGATGGCTTGAGTAATGGATGTGTTCAACTTCATGCAGGCTTTATCTACAACATTTATCCAGCTCTTTCTATGTCTTTCTCTCGCCTTCCTCCCAGATATTCTACTGTACAAAGTCATTATGCAGTCTGGTCTGGCAGCATTCTCATTAGATGGCCGAATTATTTATTCTTTTTTTGTAAATATAATCTAGACATACTGTTATTCCAGCTTTCTGATGCTGGTGTTCGTACCCCGGTCTCGTCTTGTTAGTGACCTTATGGAGACAGCGCATTTCACATGTAGTTATTCTCTGTTCTAGTGGCTTTTTCATTGTTCATATGTGGAACTGATAACACGAAGTAGGGATACAGATGCTATTATTCATTTGCTGTTTGGCCTGAAGGGAGACATTTGGGTGTATAAGTAGCGAGGCTAGCCTATAGGTGACAGCATTTGCCTTCTGTACTCTGGCTTTTATTTCTGATTTTCACATGATCTTAAAATTATGTTTAATAGTCAAATTATTACAGAAACAATTATATCATTTCTATAATTTTGAATTGCTAAAAACATTTTTTTTTGCTGGTTTGTTTCTGTTAACTGTAGTGTAACGGTTTGTAAATTATCTAAAGATTAAATCAGCTGTTGTGTAACCTTAGGGAATGATTTAATTCCCCTACAAATGACCTTTTTCTTGCTTTGAACAGCTATGCCTCCAAGCCGTGTGGGGAAGGACAGGCTCCACTGTGTGGCGGTAAAATGGACGGCCTTTATGCAGATCCTTTCGGCAGATGTACGAACTACTTCCAGTGTACAGGAGGTGTCTTTCAGCAGTATCTCACCTGTGACTTGGGGATCTTTGACCCGCTGACCCAGAGATGTGTGGTCTCTGCCGAACTCACAGTCAGACCTTGCGGACTCCAGGTACAGTTTGCCAGATGTTGATTACTTGAAGCTCAGCTTGCATTCTTCAGCATCTGTGTTGATATTGAACTCTACTGTTGTTTACGAGTTTATGGCGTTTGACACACAAATTTGCTTTCGGCATGAGTCAGTCAGTTAAAGTCATTTGATGCAAACAATAGTTGCTTTTGACATATACATAATTGCTGTCATGAATATGGCATCAGTAAAACATTGTGTCCATAGTTCTTCTTACATTTATTGCAGTGACAGCACCATATGAAACTAACATGTGACACTAACTTGCTACACTGTCATGTGACACCAGAATGTGACATTAACACGTGACCTCAGGTTTAATTTTGCTGTTTTATTTTCTTTAATTGGCGTTTGAGCTTAAATTTGTTTGTGCCCATCACACTGTTCCCGCTCATTTCTCAACTTTATACAAGAAAGGTAAGTTTGTTCCGAGGAAATCAGACCAACATGCAGCAAAGACCTTGAGGTACACATATGCCTCGTTACCGAGAGCTAATGAGGCCAGGCGAAAGCGGAAGCCACTAATCAGCCAAAGTCAATGTGTAACTTTTCATGAAAGAATCAGAGAAGGTCAGATGCCTGTCCCCATACAGCAATGGGAGCTGCGTGGTCTCCAGGCATGGTTTCGCCCTCTAGTGCTAGAGGTGCCGGGTTTAATTCTCGGTAAGGGCTGGGACATTTTTCACATAAACTTAGACTTCTAATAATCCCACTTGGTCTCTGGGTAGTGAGATCGGACGCCCGTGTGCATTATTGCACACGTAATAAAATCCCTTTTTAGTTGGAAATCGAAATGAGTAGCTAACGGCGCTGCCAGGGCAAAATGTGGGGTTGGAAATCTACTCGTAGTATTTAAGAATCATCGCCGGTCTACAGAGATTGTGCACTGTGCTAAGCTTCTTCGGACTCAGACTTAAGTTAGAAGGAGTAAGGAGCACTTATGGGTTACTACCCCTGTGCCATGATGTTAAACCGTTGTTCAATCCTCAAACCTCAATCCCATACAGCAACAACAGGGAACAAGATTAACCGTTCTGTTGGTTTGAGTTATAAAAACCTTTACCAGCCCACATTATCACTCAGTTGTCACTGCTTAAAATAACTAAGTCGTAAGTTTCAGCTGCTGGGCTTTACAGGATTCCATAGCATTTAAATAAATGTATATTTATTCTGTAAACACCAGTCGCTCAGTTTTCATTGCTACTAGTTGTAACATGAAGTTCATATTCCCATCAGTGCACAACAATGTCCACTATTAACATGGTCATGCAAATTATAATAGAAAATATCTGCATGTATCCACCAGTAGATTATATTTTCCAATAAATGCACTATCAAATTCTCTACACAAAACAACATTTGCCGGAGGCGCAGCAACCTGAGGTGGGGGTGGGAGTGTTTATGCACCCTCAAAGCTCCGCCATCCGCACACACACACACACACACACACACACAAACAATTGTTCCCGGAAAGCACCCTGACGAAGCCTCCTCCAACCGAATAATTTGCAAGGAAAATGCCCCCCCCCCCCCACCCCCACCCCACTCCACTTGCCCCTGACTCAAACCATGTAAAGACGGTCTCATTTGAAGGTAATGTTTTTTTATAGAATTTGCCGGCTCACTAGCGCAGTTGGTTAAAACCCTCTGTGCGGCGACGGGCTGACTAACTCCCTGTGGTCAGGGTTCACGCCCGGGGGTATGTAGAAAAGCAACATTTCTCCCAGATATACAGTATCTATCATGGAATCAAGGTAGAAGGGTTTCTAGATTCGTAGTACCGAACCAAAGGGTTAACAAATCAAAGTTTCTAGATACTTAACACAAAAAAAAATTCGTGTAATTTTTTTTGCTGCAGTAATTCAGCAAATAATATAATAATGATGATTATTATATCATCATTAGTACGCTTTTAAACAAGATGTAAGCCATTTCAGTACGACCCACCCACCTTCTAGAACATTTTTAGAGGCCCCAACCCTGTCATTTTCTCCTACTAGAGACGACCTTGTTATCTGCATACATTTATCATTTGCTGTGCAACTATACCATTGTCTCGACCGAGCCTCTATTTAACACACGAACTATCTCCCTACCTCCAGCCCAGCCCATGTGAAGCCTTACCCACCGGCGTCTACCCAGATCAAGCCACCGGATGTCAACATTTCATCGAGTGTCACCATGGCAACATGCTGACCAATGGAACGTGCCCCAAAGGGACAGTTTTCAGTGCTATCACAGGTGAGCTCTTTCAGCTTTATTGAGGTGAACAAGATTCTAACATCCTTGGCGCAGTCTGCTCATTCAAATCAGTCTTCCATTTATATGTAACGTGTGGTGGTGTTCTCACGATTACTAGTATTACAGCTCCCTGCATCACACTCTTCCATGGTGTTATCTGATCTGCCTGGCATGGGAGTCTTGCCGCCAGATCTCCTTCTTATTATGTTTTCTTTTATGGCTGTTATGGATTAGAGAGAACAATAATAGAGGAATGTATGCCTAGAAAGAGAGGAAGAGGAATACCAAAGAAAAGATGGGCGCAGACCAGATGTAGGCGGAGTAGCTGATCTCCCCATCCAGAAAACTGTACCGGACGCACGCGAGAGGCACAAAACAAAATATTTTAAACCACGACACTGGGCTGACCGTAAAATAATTTTTCCGGAGGACTTTTATGGGAGCAACGTTCTGCAAAGGACATGCTACTGACAGACCGCCTGAGTGGCGTTCTCAGTCTTGGTCTTCCGAAAGGCAACAGACGCCTGAAGAAGCCAGATGTTTCGACCAAAAATAATGAAAATGAAAAGAAGAACAAGAACAAGAAGAAGAAGATGCCAAGTCCATGGCTCCTCATCCTAGATATAGAACAACTATATCTAACTATACAATCTTTATTCACATTCAGACACGTGCAAAATTTGGGGGAGGGGGAAGGGGGGGGGGGGTTGGGGAGTAGGATAGTCCTAGAAGACAGACTGTGATAACAAAACTTCTACATCCGTATTCTTTGACTTTTTCCACCTTGGTTAGTAAATCCCCCCTCCATTAATTTTTGTTGTTGGTCCTTTCCTCTTACAGGCGTCAAACATAAAGGGTCCATTGTTCATATTATCATTTGGGAATCTTCATGAGTGGACGTCAAAAGTCGCGATCTATGCAAGACAGGATCAATAAATGCATGGTACAATTAGGAAGAAAAGAATCAGCTGGTAGTCAACTTTGATGTGTTGAGTTCTATTTTCCTAATAAACGACACTGAAGATCTTTGTTGAGCAATTGCGTCTGCCAGCTTTGATTAGTGCTGCAATGCAAGGAATTTGGTGTCTGTGATAGCTGTGATGGATTTACTGCCCAGAGACCATGAGTTGTTTCGGGAGTCAGTTATCTCTGTCTGTCTCTCTCTCGCACTCTGTGTGTGACCCTCACACACACCCGTTCACACATGTACTCACTCATTGTCTCTGTCTCTCTTTCTTTCCAAAATTAATACTGCTGTTCTAGAAGTACTCACTATTGAAGTTTTGTCATCAAATAACTCTATCTCTCGCTCTCTCTCAGTAATGGGAGATAACAAATAATTAAACATCCTACTCGTCCCTTTGTGGGATGCAATTTTTCGTGTTTGAAGCCCCACTCTGGCTTTTGCCGGTTGCCCTGAATATAGCTAGGCCACAATTGTGGCCATAACGGCTGAAAGGGGTATCTGAAACGTCTCCATGGGTGATCCTCATCCGCATGGTGGCGCTTTGTGTCACCGGGTGTTTATCGCTTGGGTGATGTCCTACTGGAGTACAACAAGCGAAGAGAGAGAGAAGAGAGAGAGAGAAGAGAGAGAGAGAGAGAGAGAGAGAGAGAGAGAGAGAACAAATAACATAAAGAGATAAAGACTGCTTCGGGGTAATACAATAGAGTAGTGCCCCTGACATTTAATTTATAGCTTCAAATACACAAAATCTGCCGCAGCTGTTGATCATGTTTGTTAAAAGAATGATCATTTACGATAGTTTTCGCATGAACAGTTTATGTTTAACATTGCTAAGTATTCCCACAATCCTGCTGACAACTCTACAGGTCGCTGTGACTTGCCTGAATACACGCCTCCGCCTTGTGGAGTCTCCACTGTCTGTAGCGATAAACCAGACGGGACGCTACCCAGCGCTGGCCCGGGGATGCAGCTTCTTCTACGAGTGTCATGGGGGAGAGTTCCTCAGCCTACGCCGATGTACTGAGGCTGATGGGGGCATCTTCTTCAACCCGGACACAGGAACTTGTGACTACCCACAGAACATCTGTCCTCCTTGTGGCTACAGGTGGTGGGGCTGGTAAGTTCTATATCGCTTAACTGTTGATGGCAAGAAAACTTCTTTGACTAGTGTATTCTATACTTCTTGTCTAGTGAAAACACATGTAATTGTAGAGGAACGAAATTAACAGTAGACATCCACCAGACTCAAACGGAGAAAAAACAAATATATGCAAAAGCTTTATGTCTAAAATCAGGAAAATGCAGGTTAAACTACATTAAAAAAAAAATTGAATCCCCACGGCGTGCATGTCGTATGAGACCACAAACACCTGAGAACTTTCTGCAGACTTGCCCACTATATTTACAACATCGAAGAGAAACCTGGTCCCAGAAACTATGGAGAACCATAACGGAACTTTAACTAAAATGCGAAGTCACAGAGGCCACCCACTGATAGCCTGACCTGGTCATACGAAACTGACTGCAGTGAAGACGAAGAAGAGGAGGAGGAGGAAGAAGAAGAAGAAGAAGAAGAAGAAGAAGAAGAAGAAGAAGAAGAAGAAGAAGAAGAAGAAGAAGAAGAAGAAGAAGAAGAAGAAGAAGAAGAAGAAGAAGAAGAAGAAGAAGAAGAAGAAGAAGAAGAAGAAGAAGAAGAGGAAGAAGAACAAGAAGAAGAAGAAGAGGAAGAAGAACAAGAAGAAGATACTTCTTGTCTAATCAGCTTAAACATTGTTTCAATAATATCTGTTGCATATGCTACTATGGTAGCGATGGCTGGGTGACAACTGATCAGGCAATGGTTACACTCAGAGACACAACCAACAAAAGTACAGTAAATATAAGGTTGCACAAGACGAAAATAAAATCAGCTTGTGCAGGTACACTGGGCTTTGAACATTGCCAGTTTCCCTTGTGGGTTCCTGAGACCTGCATTAGAGATACAAAAACAGACCCATTGCCTTCTCCCACCCCGTATAAGCGTGTCGTATAAGGCCATTTATAATTACTAAAATCTGGTATGAGACAGGTATTGCAGCTTAGCTGTAAAGCACAACACAAGGTAAATGGCAATGCAGAAGAAGAATCATCATAAGTGACGACAATACCTAGTTATAGGAATACGTCCTTTGATTAACGGCGAACTAAAAAACGTTTTCACTAGGCAGGGTCGAGACTTGATGTATTCTGTGCTTTTAATTTATGTCTTGTTTATTAACAGCCATCTTATAGCAACTTTAAAAAAAAATATATTTTTTAACTTCTATGAGTATCGATTAATAAATCTGACGTTGTTTCTCTAAGGGTTTGATCTCATTAGTACACAAATAATCGGTTTGAGTTGCTGTGCAATGCTCGTGAGGTTATTCGGGCATCCAGTTAGTTTAGAGGAGAGATTCGATTATTCTCACGTCCAGAATCCAGGACTAAGCCAGCCTTACAAGAACAATAGACTACTATTTGGGAGACTTTGTCTGGGTCAAATAATTACCCTGAGACTTATTCTAGAAGAAAACATTGACAAGCAACACTTCTCATCCTGGATTGTATTGATTTCAAGAAGGCGTTTCACAATCTGGAATTCTGGAATGCTACTGCATACCAGCTAAAATAATACACAATATCTATGCAATAGTTCAGAATGTGCAGTGCGCATTGGAAATGGTCTAAGAGACTGTTTTTGGTGGACAGTGTAGTGAAACAGCTGCAATCTATCTCCCGTATAGATTGGTGTAACCATTAATTGGGTAATGAGAAAATCTTGATACAGCAATGCTGGCATTGAGTGGGCAGAGAATAGAAACTGGAAGATCTGGATTTCGCAATTGATATCGTATCAAAAATAGGACTACATATAGGTTATGAGAAAGAGAATGTTTTGAAAATACCAACAACCTCTCACGTAGATGTTATAATTGAGAACAAAAAAAAAAATGCAGGCAGCAAGTTTTGACTCTCAAGAAAGCCGCGTTAGAGCAGTCGATAGGAGACTCGCTTTCAAATCCAGCTGTGACTCACTGCAGCCCAAGGTTGGTGTTTCAAACCAGGCGGTTCCCCGGGGTTCACAAGAGTACCAGATTACTGGGGTAAATGGAAGAACGTTGCTCTAGCTACCGAGTTATCGTGCGGACGGCGACACAGGCGGACAGTTGCTTATCAGCTGTCCGTACTGGTGGCAGAGCAATTATGGTTTATTACCCTGTGCAATGACGCTGGTTCACATCTCCTGACTTCACCTTTATATTTTACTTTCAAGAAGATATAACAAAGGAAATTATGAGACGCACTGGCAAAGCAACAACAGTCTTTAAAACCCTTAGCAGAATCTGTAGCTCCAAGTTATACAGCTACCAGATCAGATTACGAATTTTTAATTCTAACGTCAATTCAGTTCAAACATATGCCAGATAACGTTGGAGAACCGACAAAGATTTGGTTGGTTGGTAGTTGTACCCCACCAGGACATCCCACAAGCGATGAACGCCCGGTGACACAAAGTGCCATCATGCGGATAAGGATCACCCGTGGAGAGGTCAAAAAACCTCTTTTAGCTGTTAGACCATATCTGTGGCTAGGCCATATCTATGCCCCGACTGTATTCAGGGCCCCTGGCAAAAGCAGGGTGGGGCTTCAAATAACAAAAAATTGCATCCCACCAAAGATATGGAACAATAGTTAAATGCATACGAAAATAAATGTGGTCGAAACATCATGAGCATACAATGGGATCAATTCACACAAGAGTCAGGAGATCAGAGGAATGTCTAGACAAATATCTGTATCGACTGCAGCAAGACAATAAAGGTGGAGTTTATCGGGCATACTCTGAGTCGAAATGAGAAACAAATTGCAAACAGGCACTGAAATGGGAACTACGGGTCAGTGAACAAGTATACGTCCCAGAGAAACAATTAGAAAAACATTATTACACATGAGAAAAAAAAATGCTGGGCTGAACTCCATGTCAGAAATCGAGAAAGTTGCATGCAATAGAGCGGAGTGGTGAAATCGAATGTGAGTCCTATGTTATGTTTTAAACGACACACAAAGGATAATGATAGTGATGATGATGATTTGTGGGACGAGTGAGCCAGTGTGATAATGAAAACGTCACTCAAACAGAGCTTGTTTTAGAAGAAAATGTGGATTCAATACCAGGTCCCTGCAAAGAAACCTTGATCAAAACAGGCACAAGTCCTGACAGTCTGAATGTCTTCTGCTTCTGCGCTTTATCGCTGTATGTTGATCGTTGAGTGTCAGTAACTGAGGGCCAATCATTCAGTGCCGATCTTTCTTTCAATGCTAGTCGGGAAGTGCCGATCTTTTATTGCCAGTCGGGAAGTGCCGATCTTTTATTGCCAGTCGGGAAGTGCCGATCTTTTATTGCCAGTCGGGAAGTGCTGATCTTTTATTGCCAGTCGGGAAGTGCCGATCTTTCTTTCAATGCTAGTCGGGAAGTGCCGATCTTTTATTGCCAGTCAAGAAGTGCCGATCTTTTATTGCCAGTCGGGAAGTGCCGATCTTTTATTGCCAGTCGGGAAGTGCCGATCTTTTATTGCCAGTCGGGAAGTGCCGATCTTTTATTGCCAGTCGGGAAGTGCTGATCTTTTATTGCCAGTCGGGAAGTGCCGATCTTTCTTTCAATGCTAGTCGGGAAGTGCCGATCTTTTATTGCCAGTCAGGAAGTGCCGATCTTTTATTGCCAGTCGGGAAGTGCCGATCTTTCTTTCAATGCTAGTCGGGAAGTGCCGATCTTTTATTGCCAGTCGGGAAGTGCCGATCTTTTATTGCCAGTCGGGAAGTGCCGATCTTTTATTGCCAGTCGGGAAGTGCTGATCTTTCAGTGCCAGTCGGGAAGTGCCGATCTTTTATTGCCAGTCGGGAAGTGCCGGTCTTTCGGCGCCGATCTTTTATTGCCAGTCGGGAAGTGCCGATCTTTTATTGCCAGTCGGGAAGTGCCGATCTTTTATTGCCAGTCGGGAAGTGCCGATCTTTTATTGCCAGTCGGGAAGTGCCGATCTTTTATTGCCAGTCGGGAAGTGCCGATCTTTTATTGCTAGTCGGGAAGTGCCGATCTTTCGGTGCCGATCTTTCAATACCAGTCGGGAACTGCCTTCAATCTAAACGTGGCTAGCTCTGTATACCTATACTCCCCATGACATGAAAAAGCGTTCGCTGGTTACTGAAATGTTAATAGGCTCGTAAGGAATAGCATATTTGCTGTGACACTGTTTAAATTATGTCTATGATGCTTCTTCCGTCTCATATTTGTTAACACCCCCCCCCCAACACACACACACACACACACCAGTTGTAATGAGAGAGAAAAAGAGAGGGGGGAGGGGCAGAGAGAGAGAGAGAGAGAGAATAAAATTCATCTTAACGATGTCCAAGAGACCCCCCTCCGCCCCCTTCCCCCCAAAAAAAAACACATGTTACAAAATGTCTGCTAACTAGGAGCAAATAGTTATAGATCACTTCTGGTGTTTTTATTTACCCAATGTTCCCAAGTGTTAGTTTTAACGATATATATACATATATATAATCACCATTTTCATTTACTCTTTCAGCCCAAGAACATATCCGTTGTAACCCGATGACTGCAAGGATTTCTCGAACAATGATTATAACAGAGAACAGCAAGAACAGTGAACTGTTGAATATGCAACGACTACCATAGTGTGTTGCCTGTTACTTTAGGGGGCAGATTGTGGCTTTACCGTTGCTCGGCTTTCAATATGATTCCTATTTTCTCGACCCGTGTTTGCTATTCTAGAGAAGGAATATGAATTTAGAGAAGTGGTGTGGTCATCCGATCTGTTTGCCGTGGAGATGGTAGATACCAATGGCCACACTTTAGACTTACCTTAACAGACAGGTAACACGGCATGAAGGTGTGTGCATGTGGAGTATTGTTCACTGCTGGCTTTGTAGAGGCTCTCGTCAGAATACAGCAACAATAGCCATAGAACCCTGCTACCGTAGAGGTTAAAGGAGTTGAAGATTTGTTGGCTTTTTGGCTAGTGCACATGTTAACAAAGACAATGATTAGGCTAAGTTCTTTGCTACTGCAAGACGCCATTCAGACCATAGTTCTTCTGTAGTGACTGATAGGGGAATGTGATCTGGAAACATCCCAGTCGCAGCACGCGTAATGTCCAGAAACATTGGTTAAACGAAGAGATTAGTTACCAGTTGACTATGCGAGCAATTTATTGGCTGTATTTCTAGCATATTTACAAAGACGATGTTCCAGGCTCAGTTCTCTGTTGCTGCAGGATGTCACTTCCACCTGTGTGGTTCTAGAAAGATGAAAGAGGGTCAGTCTCTCACTGCATTATATCGTTACAGCTTTAATATGAAGCTATTTGTAACGGAGCTTCTCACAGATGCACACGATCCGAGATACCCGATCAAATGGACGCAAGGACTAGCTGATGGAAACAAGTCTGGTCATCTACGGCCACATGGCATATGTGTCATTACTGGGCACGTCGTGGGTGTGCGTCGTCGTAGGGAAACTTCTAGAACTAAAGTTGCAGTAAAGATCCAGAGCCTTGAAGCTTCCTGTCCTTAGACACATCTTGGCTAGCTGACTATAACTGAGTTAAAAACCTGGACGGTCCAGTCAAGAGCCACTTGTGTATTTGTGCAAAACTAAGCAATAAACCTAAACACGCTTGGGCTTGTCTTCCATGTGGATGTGTGCTGTGTTAAGTCGTGGCAGTTTAGCAATTAGTGAACATACACTGTTGATACATTCTCTTCTAGATTCAAGACTGGATGTTTGATTGTAGACTCATCTTAAGCACTGGACGTTTTGTAAAGGCTCAAATTCCGTACGGGCCGATCCAGTAAGATTCAAGATGAGCTGTTTCGTCAAGAGTCATGGCGTTCCGTTCATTCTATGAATGTCGTTCTGTTTTGACCCAAAATACAACAACCGATAGACAGGCTGGGGAAGAAAGACGTTCAGAGAGAAAGCAAGAAGCTGTGAATAAATATTTGTTTGATGTGCTTAACCATGTTCAAAACGTGCAATTATCAGTGGATGTCCATACTCCATTCCCGTGTAAGATATCCCATTGTGCCTCATACCATTCCATTGTAAGATATCCCATGGTGCCTCATTCCATTGCCTTCATTGTATATTTTTTTCACCATTATAATTTATTTCTCAGTTATTATGATTATTTATTTCTAAATTTGTAAATACGAAATGTAAATTGTGCCTGTCCGGGTACGTATTTGCAGTTTGCAACATATTTCTGTCTCGTCTGACATTGTTATGGTAATTCAATATTCACATGTTCTGAAGAGACGCTGGCCGAGTGATTTAAGTGGCCAACGCTGGGCTTTCGTGCGAGAAATTGAGGTTCGAATATTCTGTGAGTTTAAAGGTGGTTTTATTTCTGCCTGGGGAAAACTTATGAGTCTAGCCTGCACAGTTTGTGGTGACTGCAACATCCACATGGCTCTAAATCCTTAGGGTAACAAAAAGACCCCATATTAACATATGCTTGTAAAAGTAGGGGCACCACTAAAAATATCAAAGGAGGGTTAGTCATACGGGAAAACAAATACCTGAAGAAACTGATAACATTTATTGTGATGCATTTAGGACATCAAGTTAAACAAGCGCTATCGTTTTGGACAATGGCTGCTATTAAATGCCATTAAAGACAAATCACTAATCCCTAGTACTTTACATAAAGTGGCTCTCGTCAAACCACGACCGAAAGTATCTCCTTCTCCCTCCATTTGCCAAGCTCTATGTACTTCCATAGCCAGTGTATCTTCAATGTCTTGTACTAACCTTCATGGAGGTCTTCCTCTACATCGCTATCTGGAAGTGTACCCTCCATCCCTGATCTCTCCAGGTTACTAAGACATTTAACATTGCCAGAATATCTCAGATTTCGGACAGTATGCTCTTTATGAGCCAATTCTCCTTCATGATCATCAGATCATGCAGGATTTCCTCGTTTTTCTTCTAGAAGTGACCAAATATGGCGATTTAATTAGAACATTCTGAAAGAAATTGAAGATAGAATTACAAAACATGCACTGACATGGCAAACACTTGGATTGACAGGGGGGCGTCCAGGTAGACTTGTGACGAACAATAATGACAGTGGCCAACAATATAAGTCTAGACACCATACAGGCCTACAAAATAAAAATGTACGTTATAAAACAAAATTGCGGAATCGACTGAAAGTCCCGTGTATTGTATACAGAAAACAAACGGGCAGTAACGAATCATGACCGTGACACTGGAGAATGTATCGATGCCAACATAATTGAATATCACACAGACATTGTTGGTTATGAAATTCTCCGCAAGGACTGTTACATCGATTTAAGCAGGATAAAACTCCCGCTTGAAGATGAAACATGCCATATTTTGTGAGACATTTTCTTTGTGGAATTTGAAGCTGGTCTTAGTTTTTTTAGTCGCTTTCCTTGAGCCTAGGGCGGTGCATAGGGCAGAGCTCATAGCTTTCCACTTTTTGTCACTTCCCTTGAGCCTAGGGCGGTGCATAGGGCAGAGCTCATAGCTTTCCACTTTTTGTCACTTCCCTTGAGCCTAGGGCGGTGCATAGGGCAGAGCTCATAGCTTTCCACTTTTTGTCACTTCCCTTGAGCCTAGGGCGGTGCATAGGGCAGAGCTCATAGCTTTCCACTTTTTGTCACTTCCCTTGAGCCTAGGGCGGTGCATAGGGCAGAGCTCATAGCTTTCCACTTTTTGTCACTTCCCTTGAGCCTAGGGCGGTGCATAGGGCAGAGCTCATAGCTTTCCACTTTTTGTCACTTCCCTTGAGCCTAGGGAGGTGCATAGGGCAGAGCTCATAGCTGTTCACTTTTTGTCACTTCCCTTGAGCCTAGGGCGGTGCATAGGGCAGAGCTCATAGCTTTCCACTTTTTGTCACTTCCCTTGAGCCTAGGGCGGTGCATAGGGCAGAGCTCATAGCTTTCCACTTTTTGTCACTTCCCTTGAGCCTAGGGCGGTGCATAGGGCAGAGCTCATAACTTTCCACTTTTTGGCGGTTCGCTGCCACCTAATTTGCTGATGGGACTATATAAGGACAGTTGCTTGGGTTCTATCTAAATTACTAGCAGTTAGGTACGGGCATCATGTGCGCTGGGACATGGGGGGCTAAGTACTGTGAATTGCCACCCCCCTTCCCCCACTGTTTATCCCCACCAAGAAACACATAATGCACACACACACACACACACACACACACACACACACACACCCAAACCGTATAACGCAAAAACGAATGTGTTAATTGTCAAAACTGACCATAATGAAAGAGTGCAGTCTGTGTAAAGCAACCTTCGTTACAGGCAACTATTTGTAACTTCTTATTAGTTTTTTTTTTTTTTTTTTCATGTTTTTGTTGTATTTCATGCTTAAACCTGATTATGACTTGTGTGTGACCGGCTGACGGCATACAATGCACGAGTGAGTGCATGTGTGCTTTTGAATCTTTATTATAAATTATGTATGATTTTATTATTTGCCTAAATTGTATTCATAATTGAAACATTAACAATATTTACTATTCTCGACACGTACAAGCTTGACAATGAGACGGAAGAAGGAAACAAGTAGATACACAAATAATAAAACAGGAAACAATAACACAGTGAAGTCAATAAGATCTTTATAGGAAAGCAAATCTATTCAGGAACAGTGTATAAACACATGCTGTCCATATGTGCTGTATA